CACCTCGTGCTATATAAACTCCAGGTCTTGTACATCATCTTCTGATCGATCTCGGAGAAGCTCCGATCTGAGTTTTTAGCAATGGCGAAATTAATCACTAGCCTCGTCTCTCTGATTCTTATCGGTCTCGTCGTCGCCTCCGCGGCAGTTATCTTCGAAGAGCGCTTCGATGGTATCTATTCTCTCTACATCTCTATCTCTATACTCTAGGTTCCAATGGATGCGTTTGTTTGTGTTTTGAATTGTGATGTTTACGTCAATTTGAGTTTTAATGGGATTTTTGCTACGAGTTTAAGATCCATTTTCGATCATGCTACCTATGTATCCTCGTTTTCATCAGATAGATCATTTTCAAATGTTTGATCAGGATGGTTGTTGATCTATGGATTTGTTGATTTTGTTTTGTATGGGGTTTATGAATTCGAAATTCTAATTGGAGATCCTGGAAATGGCCGCCATCTTTTCGTGAAAATGGTTTTAGCGATGATGAATTCTGAGATGATAATTAAGTTATGATTCCTTGCGGGTTCGACACTAGTATACTAGTTTCACTCTAAATCATTGTCAGTTTTCTTCTTTGATATAACAGTAAATTTGCGGTCTTATGTGGGAGAAATTTTGTTCAATGAAGCGTTCATGAGTTTGTTAAGTCCACTTTTCTGACTTGCAACACCAAGGAATTTTTACTCTAACCAATATCTGGTTTGAAGAATTCGTTTATCTTGTGTTTGATTGATTACGTATTGTAGTTCTGGACTTGATATATGAACCTGTGATTCTTCTTGTCTGGTGTCTGTCTTGATTTGTTATCTTCGTTATTTCCATTTCTAAAGATGGATGGGAAAGCAGATGGGTTAAATCTGAGTGGAAGAAGGATGATAACACTGCTGGGGAGTGGAAACACACTGCTGGAAATTGGTCTGGTGACTCTAACGATAAAGGTATGTTTCAGCCTTCAGAGCTAGTTACAGACTCATGATTTATTGTTTCCAGGCATATTCCAAGTTTTTACTAATGCGTTGATTGCAATTACCATTTTCTTGCAGGTATCCAGACTAGTGAGGACTACAGATTCTACGCCATTTCAGCTGAGTTCCCTGAATTCAGTAACAAGGACAAAACCTTAGTCTTCCAGTTCTCAGTCAAGCACGAGCAAAAGCTTGACTGTGGTGGTGGCTACATGAAGCTGCTCAGTGGTGATGTTGACCAGAAGAAATTTGGTGGAGACACCCCATACAGGTACATTTCTTATCTCATCTTACTCTAATAATCTCAGCATTATCAATTGACATCAATATTTAAAAATAACACCCATCTGGTTTACACGCAGTATCATGTTTGGTCCCGATATCTGTGGCTACAGCACAAAGAAAGTGCATGCTATCCTTACCTACAATGAAGCCAACCACCTGATCAAGAAGGATGTTCCATGTGAAACTGATCAGCTTACCCATGTGTACACCTTCATCCTCCGCCCAGATGCAACTTACAGCATTCTCATCGACAATGTTGAGAAGCAAACGGGTAGCCTTTACTCTGACTGGGATCTTCTCCCACCCAAGAAGATCAAGGACCCCAGCGCCAAGAAGGTATTCAGTAACTTATGAACAACTAGACTAAACTAAGAACCAACCACTTATACATCACTTATAGAGCGAACTAGAACCAACCAGACTAAAGCTCATGAAAATACGAGTCTCTGCTCGAATTTGTTGACTATACCTGTGATACCATAACAAATTGATCCGTTTTTTTTTACAGCCTGAGGATTGGGACGACCAAGAATACATTGCTGACCCTGAAGACAAGAAACCTGACGGGTACGATGATATCCCAAAGGAGATCCCAGACACCGACTCAAAGAAGGTTCCTACCTTATCTTTTATTGATGGAAAATATAAAATCTGTTGCTGTGTTCCAAATTTGCTGATTTTTCTTTATGTCTTTTCTCTTAGCCTGAGGACTGGGATGATGAAGAAGATGGTGAGTGGACTGCCCCGACCATCCCCAATCCTGAGTACATGGGTGAATGGAAGCCTAAGGTTTGTCAATCTCGCTCTCAAAAAGTATACATAACCTGGTCAACTTTTTTCGTCTCTCAAGGTTGTCATTTATATCTGTAGCAAATCAAGAACCCCAACTACAAGGGCAAGTGGAAGGCTCCAGTGATTGACAACCCTGGTAAGTTACTACTGTCTGTGCCTTTCTATTTTCCTTTGTCCATATTTTTATTGTTGCATTATATACATGTAATTTGTGGTTCTACTTCTGTTCATTATTGTTTGATGGTTTCTGGTATGTCTGGAAATCTCTTGCAGTTTATATTTCTAATGCTGAAGTAATGTCTTGCTTTCAAATGGTTAAGGGTGTCTGTGTGTTTAAAACCCAGTTGGTATACCTATTTTAATAGAAACATGTTTGTAACCAATCTGATTTTTTTTGTCTTCTCTATCCTTTAACCCAAGGTCACCACCAATTTGACACATTTAGTCATTTTTATCTTTTGCTACCTTAATCTACACTTTTCTTCCTTGTTCGTATGTTTTTCTTGTTTACATAAACGTGCATTAAAATTAGCTCTCCAAGACATAATATCCAACAACTACTGTGCCTAATTTAAACTGATTCACGCAGACTTCAAGGATGACCCAGAGCTCTATGTCTTCCCCAAGCTGAAGTATGTTGGACTCGAATTGTGGCAGGTGATAGATCTTGTCATTATATGACCTCTTGCCTTCCAAGATCTGCTTGGCCATATGAATCCCATCTAAAATAATTATCACTCTTTCAGGTGAAATCAGGATCGCTGTTTGATAATGTCTTGATCTGCGATGACCCAGACTACGCCAAGAAGTTGGCAGATGAAACATGGGGAAAGCTCAAGGATGTACGTGTTTAGTATACACATCTCCATTAACACAACTCTTTGTTTCTGGTTACTGATCAGAATATTCAATCTAATATCACATTGCAGGCAGAAAAAGCAGCTTTTGATGAGGCTGAGAAGAAGAATGAGGAAGAGGTAATTCTTTGTCAACCAATTATCTCCCCTAATTAGCTATCAAAACAAGTAGTTTGGACGAACAAAATTATTTGACTTAGTGAAAAAATAATCTGAGACGACATCCTCTTTTTCTGTGCTGATACAGGAATCCAAGGACGCACCTGCAGATTCTGATGTAAGCACGTGTGATTGATAAAAGATTCAGAGTCTTCTATGTTTCTGTCAAGGTCCTAATATTATATCTGTAACCTATTTTCCAGGCTGAAGAGGAACCAGAGGATGATGATGGAGATGAATCAGATTCTGAATCTAAGGCTGAGGAGAGCAAATCAGAAGTTAGCGAGGAAACTGCTGAGAAAGACGCTACCGCTCATGTATGTTACCATAATGTCACATTAATATTTTACCATCCTTAATTTTGTTCTTCTAATTGGTTTTGCAGGATGAGCTGTAGGGTATTGACGTTCAAGGTTTGAAGACCAAAGTTTTCAGAGTCTTTATTGTTTAATCCTTTCTTTTGAAGTATTTTAGCATGTAGTAGTTTGTCGGAGAGATAGAATCAAGTTTTAGCAAAATTAAAATGGGGATACAATGACTGTCGGATGCTCCTTTTAGACTTGAACATGAAGAAGTTTTGCAGTTGCATCTCTTTCTCTAGTCTTGTTTCAGTCTACACTAGTATATTAATTCACTGCTCCACTCTTTTGAGAAACCCGTTATCTTCATGTCAGCCAATACAGACCGACACGTCTATAACCCAATTTCCCGCTAGTTGACTAAATACTAGGAATGCATTAGCTTAGATATGTGGATAAAACAAAAATTATAACGAATACTTTTTGTTCATCCTTGGGAAGCAATATTTTTATTCAATCTCAGAAGATGAAGTTATAATTTTTGTACAACAAAAAGATATCCAAATTCCATGTATCTGGTTACCATCCATCATCACTCATGTCTCATGGTTGAGAAAAAGAAAAAAAGATTACGCAGGCCAAATTAGGTAATGGGCCTTGGTGTATGTTTTTGGTAAAGATAAAATTGTTTTTAATTCTTTCTTTATTGCTATGCTATTGGTCTACACATCTTCACGCGGATCAGTAACAGAAAAGAATGAAATCTAACCGTAGATATAAACTTATCGACGTCAGTTATGTTTTCACACGGATCGTGATATAAACCTCTTATATCCGTCGATTAAACACAGATGAACGATTCAGATTCAGTCCCGCTAAATGAAGAAACGCGAAAACTTTTTCCCGCTTCTTGTGTAATTCCCAGACGATAAATATCCCCTTCCTCAGCCTAATCAAAATCACAAATCAGATCTCAACTTTCTCTCAAAAATCAAACAGTTTCTAATCACAATTTTCGAAATGGCTCGTACCAAGCAGACAGCTAGGAAATCAACCGGAGGTAAAGCTCCAAGGAAACAATTGGCGACAAAAGCGGCGAGGAAATCTGCTCCAGCCACCGGAGGAGTGAAGAAACCTCACAGATTCAGACCCGGAACCGTAGCTCTAAGAGAAATCAGGAAGTACCAGAAGAGCACTGAGCTTCTGATCCGTAAACTTCCTTTCCAGAGGCTTGTGAGAGAGATCGCTCAGGACTTCAAGACCGATCTCCGTTTCCAGAGCAGTGCCGTCGCCGCCCTCCAGGAAGCTGCTGAAGCTTACCTCGTCGGACTCTTCGAAGACACCAATCTCTGCGCTATTCATGCCAAGAGAGTCACCATCATGCCCAAGGACATCCAGCTCGCAAGAAGAATCAGAGGAGAAAGAGCTTAGATCTAAGTATTCTGGTGGCTGGCTTTTGTGTTTCTTTAGAACGAACGATAAGAATGTAAAATTTCAAGTTTAATCCAAGGGTTTCAATATTAATTCTAATCAATTATCTTATCTTCTATCATAGTTGTTAAAAGAAAATTATGATGCTCTATCAAAATCGGGTCTCTTATAAAATTGGGTTTATGTGTAATTTGCATGTAGACTTTTTTTTTTTATTGACTTAGTTACCTAATCGAAATTTTTAATTGTGTTTAACTCGGTAGATAACAAAATCAGCATTGGAGCAAATTGTGAAGAGATTCGATCGACGATGAACTCAAATTTGCAATCGAGTCCTTTATCATCGCAGCTTTTCACTTCCATTGATATGGGAACAAACTCTTTCAAGCTTCTTATAGTCCACGCTGATCCTTGTGGTAGATCTTTCGTTCCGATCGAGAGACTCAGAGAGCCAGTGGTGTTGTCTCGCGAATCTCCGACCTCAATTTCGTCTCAATCTCAGGCTCGCGCGCTTCAATCCCTACGGAAATTCAAAAGTTTGATTCTCTCACACAACGTCTCCGTTGACCGGATCCGATGCGTCGCGACGGAAGCATTACGGCGAGCAGAGAATCAGAAAGAGTTTGTGGATGCGGTTTTCGAGGATGTTGGGCTTAAGGTCGATGTGCTTTCCGGTGAAGAGGAAGCGAGGTTAGTTTATTTAGGCGTGCTTCAGTTTCTTCCCGTGTTTGAGAAATCAGTGTTGTGTGTTGATATTGGAGGTGGTTCTACTGAATTTGTGGTTGGTAAGTGTGGTGATGTGAAGCTTGCTGTTTCTTTGAAGCTAGGTCATGTGAATTTGACACAGATGTTTATGAAAAATGGTGGTATTGGATTGAAGGAAATGAGAGACTATATCCGTCATGCGATTGATGAGTCTAGGTTAGCAGATAGATTGAAGGAATCCAATGGCTTTGAGATGGTTGTGGGATCTTCTGGAACTATAAGAGCTATTGAGAATGCAGTTTTCAGTGGCTATGGAGCTGATTTGTGTGAATTCAATTTGGAAGGGTATAAGAGGGACTGGAGATTTGGCACAAGAGAGCTGAGCAGCGTTGTAGCGAAGCTATGCAGTGAAGGAGACGAAGAGCTGATTCGGAGGGAGGGATTTTTCAAGAGAAGATCAGAGTTCATTGTTGCTGGGGCCGTATTGTTGGAGGAAATATTCAAGGCTCTTGGTATAGAGGATTTGGAGGTCTCAGAGTATGCGTTGGCAGAGGGTGTGATTGCTGATTCTCTGGCCAAAGCTTTTGATGGATCATATGATTTGAATGCCAATGCAAGGTGGCGGTCGGTCATGCGGCTTGCCACGCGATTCAATGGTAAAAAGCGAATGACTCACGCGATACACTGTGCCAAGATCGCCAAGGTATATTACTTTTCATGAGCAACTTAATAGTGAAATATTCATAAAGGTTATAGCTTTTTGTCATATCCTTTGAATAGGCATTGCTCTGGTCATATTTATCTCTCTTTTTTTGTATGTGTGCGCTAGTGCCTAATGGTTTCAGATTTCATTTCAAGCTCTGGACAACCGAATCTGGCCATTTTGTTTAATTCAGTAGGTTTGATACTACAGTTATTTTCCAGGAGATCTATGTAGGTTTGAGGAAGTGCAATGATTTTAAGGTTATCTTAGACGATAAGGAGCTTGAGTATCTCGAAGCTGCTTGTTTCTTGCACAATATCGGAATCATCATAGGGAAAAAGGGATATCATAAGCAGTCTTATCATATCATCAAGGTTAGTTCATCCAACACTGTCAAATATACCATTCAATAAGCACAGCTCTTTACAAAGCTGGAAAAGCAACTCACAAAAGCTTATCACCCAGAGTACTCTATGTTTCTATTATAAACTTTGTTGTAGGTTTTCAGTATTTGTTTAGTCCTCATTGTTATTAATAATTTCTTCTTTCGTAGAATGGGGATCATCTCCATAGCTACACTGCTGAGGAAATCGAGGTAGGGTACTTAATCCTCTAGAAGGAAACACTTGCCTTGAATTTACTGTTTTTCTGATTACTATCCATCATTTTCAGCTTATAGCTATGCTTGTGAGATACCAAAGAAAAAAGTTTCCTAAGCTTGATCGTGCACCTCTTAAAGACTTCACTGAGGAGGTATTGTGTCATATATCAGCTTAGTAAACCAGGATCAATTTGTTGATGTGGTTGTTGTAATCCTTATGTTGTCTGTTGCAGGCAAAGCGAAAATTCATAATTTTGTGTTTGATTACACGATTATCGGTTATACTTCAACGTAATGAGAATATGGATCTCCAAGAAGTTGAATTTCTTGAATCTTCCGAGACCTTCAAACTCGTAAGTACATCTTTTTAATCATTCTACTTCCTACACTGCGAAAACCATTGAATAATTTTTTCAAACACTACAATCAACCCTGTTGTACCTCGGTTTGTTGATCACCTCTTAGTTTATATATTTTCTTGTGAAAATTTGAACTTGTTAGTTAATTTCCTTGCTGGGGCTAGAATGGATATTTCTATCTCAACCAATCAACCCAACATCATTGTCTTAAATCTTTATCTCTTCACTTTACTAGGATTTTTGTTTGTTTGATTGCAGGTGCTGAAAGAAAAAAAACAACACCAGGAACCCGTAGAAGTTGGTTATCAAGATCAAGTAAACAAAAACTCTAATGAATCCCAACTGGAGAAAGAAGTTGAGCATTTTAAAAGGGTAAACTTTCATTACCCAATAACTTCGATCAGTTTCTCTTTCATTATCAAATGTTTGAATTCTTGCAATGAACTGACACCTATCAGCAAAATATGTATGATTGATTAGAAACAGTAACAGAGACAACAGTGGAAACATTACCTCAACAGCTTATGTCTCCAAAGTTTCCATATGTAACTTTCTCGTATCTGTTTGCTTTGAACTCAGCAGCTATACAAAAAGGAAATGATGATTGTTTTTCCTTCCTGAAAATCATCAGAGAATCAGACGGTATGTAAGCTCAATGAATCATCGGTATGTCAAAACTGAGGCAGCTCTCACAGGTATGAGAAACATTCTCTGCATCAAAGATCAAAAGCATGCTATCTAACACCTCATAACCATCATAAACCATACCCCTGTCACGGTAGAACTAAACCTCTACATCATTTGGTACAGAGAGTTGTTGGTTTCTTTCCTGGAGTTTTTCGTTGTCCAATTTATGAAGTCAAAAACGTCAGGTGATCTTTAGTTATCCATGATCTTGCAGTTTTAAACCAGAAACTGATGGTAAAACTATGATTGTACGCAGAATGAATTGGTCTAATGAAAAGAGGTAATTAAGCATCGTAGCCAACCCTGACGGACTTGTTGTATCATTACATTTTGTCATTGTCTAACTATTTGGGTCCACAAAACCCCTTACCACAAGTTTCCCTCTCCCACTTAGTTTTGTTTGCCAAAATATGACTCCATGTTATCTTTTCCCACTGGATGTGCATTTGGTTTTCAAGCAGATGTTGAAATGGTTGCCTGCGAACCAACGGCATCTACACATGGCTGCAGGACCAAGTGAATGAAGCCGGGGCGGGTGAAGCCCTTGATTCTCATCTGAAAAATGCTACTACCATGGTGAAGAAGCAACCAATGACAAGTTTTAATATCTGAAAACGTTGAGATTTCTAATTTTCAGAATTTTGGGGGTTTCTTAATGAATACTAAAACTAATATTTACAACAAAAACAAGTTTGGTATATCATAAAAATTTAAGATACGACATTTTGAATCCTAGTATAAAATACAAACACCCCAGGATAACTAGAAGTGGATACAATAAGCAACTTACTTGAACATAAGCAAATCCAGATGGTCGAGTGGTAGCTAAACGGCAGTTAACCAGTAAGCAAATGTTGTATTAAACCGATACTTAACCGGTACTTAAACCAATAGCGTTTGAAATTGGCGCAAAGCAACAACAATTGAGCGAGAGTGGTAGAGAGGAGCAGAGGAGGTTTAATGGAAGTCGAGCGTAAGCTGCTGCGTCTTCTCCACGGCCACAGAACTCGAACCCGTTTACCCGAAATCCATGCCCATCTTCTCCGTCACTTCCTTCATGGTTCCAATCTCCTTCTTGCCCACTTTATCTCCATCTGCGGATCCCTCACGTACTCTGATTACGCCTCCCGCGTCTTCTCTCATATCCAAAACCCGAACATTCTCGTCTTCAACGCCATCATCAAATGCTACTCCCTCGTCGGTCCGCCTCTAGAATCTTTATCTTTCTTCTCTTCCATGAAAAGCCGCGGAATTTGGGCTGACGAGTATACTTACGCGCCTTTGCTCAAATCCTGTTCGTCACTTTCTGATTTGCGGTTTGGGAAATGCGTTCACGGTGAGGTTATTAGGACTGGGTTCCACCGGCTTGGGAAAGTAAGGATTGGGGTGGTGGAGCTGTATACCTCCGGTGGGAGAATGGGTGATGCCCAGAAAGTGTTCGACGAAATGCCTGAAAGAAACGTGGTCGTCTGGAATCTTATGGTTCGCGGGTTCTGTGATTCTGGAGACGTTCAAAGAGGTCTTAGTTTTTTCAAACAGATGAGCGAAAGAAGCATTGTGTCGTGGAATTCGATGATATCTAGCTTGTCTAAATGTGGTAGAGATCGTGAGGCTTTGGAGCTTTTCTGCGAAATGATTGACCAAGGTTTTGATCCAGACGAGGCAACTGTGGTTACAATGTTGCCAATCTCTGCATCTCTCGGAGTTTTGGATACCGGAAAATGGATTCATTCTACCGCAGAATCCAATGGTTTGATTAAAGATTTCATCACCGTGGGAAACGCTTTGGTAGATTTCTACTGCAAAAGCGGCGACTTAGAGGCAGCAACGGCTATATTTAGAAAAATGCAGCGGAGAAACGTTGTTTCATGGAACACAATGATATCGGGATCAGCCGTGAACGGAAAGGGAGAATCTGGGATAGACTTGTTTGATGCTATGATCGAGGAAGGGAAAGTAGCTCCAAATGAAGCGACATTTTTGGGGGTTTTGGCATGTTGCTCATACACAGGTCAGGTGGAGAGAGGAGAAGAATTGTTTGGTTTAATGATGGAAAGATTCAAACTTGAGCCGAGAACTGAGCATTACGGGGCGATGGTAGATTTAATGAGTAGGAGTGGGCGAATCAGAGAGGCATTTGAGTTTCTCAGAAATATGCCCGTCAACGCAAATGCGGCAATGTGGGGGTCGCTACTTAGTGCTTGTCGCAGCCACGGAGATGTAAAGCTAGCAGAACTTGCAGCAATGGAGTTAGTGAAGATTGAGCCAGGGAATTCTGGGAATTATGTGTTGTTATCTAATTTGTATGCAGAGGAAGGGAGATGGCAAGATGTGGAGAAGGTACGAACGTTGATGAAAAAGAATTGCCTTAGAAAGACTACTGGCCAAAGCACCATTTGCGATGTTTCCAGTCTGAGAAGTAGCTGGTTTTGTGAATAGAGGCCAGGCTTGTTGCTAAATATGGTAATCAAGATCATTTGTTAGCATATTTATATCTTTCTGGCACTGAAGATCGATGTTTGATTAATTTCTAATGAAATGATTAGAACAGAATCCATTTTGTTCGGGTTGATTCAACAAAGAAACACAACTACTTCAATAGTATAATGCACAACAAGTTTGGAGACGACTTACTACTATTAAAACTTAGAGAAAACTAGAATAGAGAGAGTTTATGTCTTTTCAAATAGAAAAATTGGATGTCTCATTCATAAACCGTGAAGCAATCACCAATGCTGTCTACTTGATATACTGAGATAGCCATTTAAACCCTTCACCATAACCCATTTTGCGAACGATGCTGCACATGAAGACCTCAAGGGGACGAACACCAGAGTTTTCAAGACTCACATTGCCTTTACCGGTAGTGAAATTGGTGAGACCCAAGTGATACCTGAGCTCATCTTCTGAGGATGCATAAGGAATATCAATCTTGTTGCCAAGAATAAGACAGGGAACATTTGCTAAGGCTTCATCTGATAAAAGAGCGTCTAGCTCTCTTTTCGACTCCACAAATCTCTCCCTGTCGTAAGCATCCACTAGGTAGACAACAGCATCAACCTTTACACACACACACAGAGAAAGGAGTTTCTTCTGTCAGCAAATCTTTTGATTTTGGTTCCAGTATAAGCAAATCAATATTATGAACTATTTCCACCATATCTATCAACAAAGAGATTATCAATTTTTTTTTCTTTTTGCAATTTGTACAAAACATAAAATCTAGTTAGGAGTATGATGAGAACCTTGGCATAGTAGTCTTTCCAAACCCGACGAGCAATCTGATGGCCACCCAAATCAAAGGCCTTGAACTTGATTTTGCCAATGCTAAGTTCCTCCGACGTGGGATGCTGTGTTGGCTGGTGCTGAACTAATCTCTGCAACACCAAATTCGAGATTAATACATATATATATATATATATATATATATATCAGTAGAAGAGAGAGCGTACAAGTAATAAAGCTGACCTCGTCTTTTAGCATGTGAAGTAAAGTAGTTTTTCCGGCATTGTCCAGGCCTAGAAACAAGATCTTCGCTTCTTTCTGCCACAAACCTAACGAGGCAAATATTCCATAGAACCAATCAAACAAAAACATGACGTCGTCTTCCTCAGATCTAATTAGAATCCACAAACGATAAACAATAAACACCACCAGAACAGAATCGGGAGATATGAAGAACCAAAAATCAAAGTTTCGTTTCGTTGATGGAGATATATAACTATGCCGTAACATTATTATATATATATATATATATATACCTAAAAAAAGGAAAGAAAAAAAATACGTGGGTGATAGGGAGCTAGTGAATTGATGTGGAATCTTGTGATTGGTAGTCATCATTGTCGTTGACGTCATTCGATCAATATGAACCGTCCGATCCGCGGTTGCGATGTTTTTGTTGGACTTTTAAAGATTTTTTGGGTTAACAGAACCAATAAGAAAGTGAAGGCTTGATACGACGTGGCAAAAACTTAATGGCCAGGAGAGTTTATTTCCTCCTCAAGTTATTTATGAGCCGACGAGGTTAAGGTAGCCACATTTAATTCAAACACATACGATTTAATTTTTTTTTTTTGGTCATCAGACATTATCAAAGTGTATATACAATATTTAATTATGAAGCAAAAATAAAATAACATGTAATTACTGTTTCAACGTGTAAATAATCAAAGAGGTTACAAAGACGAGAAATAATGTAGAACCGGTGAGACCACGGTGTTTCAAGCAGTCACCGCCGCTTCCTACAGAATGGCCACCATTGCTACTACCACTGCTGCGATGGCCGCCACTATTAGAAGATCTTCCACTCCCAGCGCCACCGCTACCTCCTCCATCTCTACTGCCGCCTTTACCGCTGTTTCCGCCTCGACCACTGCTTCCACCACCATGACCTCCTCCGCCGCTACCACCGCTGCTTCGAAGCTCCCGTCGCCAAAATGGGTTATCTATCTCACAACACGTTGTAGTTCCTGAGATGGAGTTAGGTTTCAGATGGACGGCTGTGATTGAAACAACGGCTTGGATATGCGCATGAATCGCAAGTAACAGTAGTAATACGTGAGCCATTGGTTTCATGAATTTGTGTATCTCCTCCAGACTAATCTTATGTGTTTGATCACTATCTAATTAACTAGAGGAAAAAATGCGGTTATGTGTAGTACTCATTATAGATCTCTATTTATAATTTATACGAATTTCATCTGGTCAACGTCTAAATTAATCTCATTTTCTTGAGAAAAAAGAAATGGATGCCACTACTATAGATCTGTTATAAATCATATGGATGGACTCCATAACCGGCCCAAGGCCTATTAAATTTTATCTCCTTTGATGTGTTTCTGTGTAAACTCATATATATACTCTCTTATGTGTTAATAAGATTACATAGTTTATAACAAGATCAATTTTAGCGAAATATTTACGTTTATTTTAGTAAGGTGTCGACGCCTCTCATTTATCAAATTTTTAAAAATTCCTAAGGAAAGGCCTCCAACTAACTTTTTCTAGGTATGAAAAGGCCCAACATTTTTGCCTGGCTAAAACTATCTTTATGTATTTTTGTTTGTTTCAAATTGTATACACATCATGTAGTGATCACGTACATTTTTTCTTTTTGTGATCACGTACAATTGTTTTAGACACGATCAATACAAACATAAACATTGAGTAAGTGTCAAAACTAACCTAATACGATCGCTATTTTTTGTTTCATTTCGTTTAATTTCTGAATGAGTCTAGTTAGTTACTTTCCATTGTTTTCGTTTAACTAAGTGTGTAAACTAACCTATTACAATGTCTATCTTTCTTTTCTCATTCCGTTCACGAACCGCAATAATCTACATCACATATCACTTTACAATAATCTACATCAGGTTGCCAACTGGTGCTAAAACTAATTAAATCCAAGTTTCCAAGAATTATACGATAGCAACATATAACTTCGTGAAAATACGTGTCTGTTTTTTCCAATATCTTATGTGTGTGTATATATATATACTAACAGCATTAAAATATTATATAACCACTTATTTTTGAATGAGTTGGTATCATGTTCAATAAATGTATCACGAAAAGAAAAATAGAATATTATTGAAAAAAAGTCTACAAGAAATTGAAACATCTTATTTTCAATGAATTGGATAATTAAAAGGGTCACTTTCAAAAGATGTGGTTACAATCATCATAGCAAAGCTTCTTTTTCGTTTATATTTCTAAATATATATCTTATTTCTTGTTGACCAAATTATATATATTGAAGAAAAACTAAAAATAAATTTTCATGCCGACCTTTATTCATCTGGTTATAAAACCATCTAGTCATGATATCATGTTTATATTGGCTTTTAAAACACCTCTATACGCAAGAAAAATTAGTTCTACAAACAAGGTAGTTGTCCAACCAAATGAGTTTCATCATAATAAGCCTGTATTTCTTCATAGAATTTAGGGATCCCCAGAATTTATTTTCCACTTTCTAATTTATTACAAGGGATCTGTATAATATTTATGTTGGTTATAATACCCTTAATTATAAAGGTAGGAAGTTAAGTCAAGCTATAGAATTGCACATTTTTATTGGTATATAAAGCTAACACATGCATATTTCTAATTAAACATAGATTTTAATAAGACAATGATATCAGTACAAATCATTCGGAAGCAATTTCCGTATAATTAGATCAATTGGGAATTTTAATAGCTACGAATTTTGTTAAAACATATATAGTACTAATTTAGTTATAACCATTATAGAACCTAGTGGATGGTTTGAAACTACATATATACGGGTTATAAACTCCATAACTATATATAAGTTCGTACATATTAAATGGATCAATTAAGAATAATTAACAAAAAAATTGAAAAATGATTAATTTTTAATATTGAAATTGTCCATCTATAGAAGAAACCCAGGAGACTCGGGGGCCTCTGGAGTCTGGAATCTGGATCATGCCTCGCTCTTCTTCTTCGTTTTCTTTTCTCTTGTTTTAATTGCAAAAAAAAAAAAAAAAAAAAAAGAGAGGGGTCAATTACATTTTTTTTCTTCTAAATATCAATTTCTTTCACTTTCTTTTCTCTTCCTTATAAAACAGAGCAATGTTCCACATATAAGTGAATATTCTTGTATCTACACAGCTTTGATTTTCTTTGTTCTATTTTGGAAAAATCTGTTTCAAGCTAAGAATTCAAAATTTAGGTTGTGAGATTCTAGCGGCGAGATTTGGGAGTTGAATTTGAAAATATCCAGGTATCTTGTTGATCAAGCTAAAAGCATTGAATCGTTTCTTGTCAATGGCGACCGAGCAACAAGATTCGCAACTCTGTTTAGCATCGATTCTGGAGGATTTTCTTAAACAACGAAATATTCGCGTTGGTGCGGATTCGAGCTCGAAAAAGGCCGATGAAACTTGTACGTTCGTCAATCCCTCTCTTCTTTCTTTTTCCGTTTCTCTTCTTTGGTCCATATTTTGAATAGGAAGTTTCTGAATATGGATTTTTGAGATTAGGGTTTGTAATTGACAATCGAATCAGGGAATATAAGGATGATCCATCGCATTCTTTGAATCCTCTTTTCATTTTTATTTTCTTGGATCATCATGATGCTTAATCATCAATTGTGAGAAAGCTTTATTGTCTACATGTTCTTCACTTCCGGCTTGTACATTTTATATTCACTTGATTAATTGAAATCAATTATGAGAAAACGAAATCACAATATGTGTAGTTGGAGGAAGGGATTTGCCAGTAGATCCTTCAGACTTGAGAAGGTATGAAGCAGCAAGGTGGGTAAGAAACACACTTGGTGTAGTTGGAGGAAGAGATTTGCCAGCTGATCCTTCAGAGGATGATTTCAGAATTGCATTAAGAAGTGGAATTTTGCTCTGCAATGTCCTCAACAGAGTTAAACCTGGTGCTGTACCAAAAGTAATGTCTCTCCCCTAATTACTTTATTACAGAATATTGTCAAGGATTAAATATTTAAGCTACATTTTTGAAACGTTAAGGCCTGCCTGTATAAAGTTGTGCAAGCATGATTAGTACCATTTTGTTTTAAAGAGTTTCAGGAATTAACTATTTTGTTGCCGATATCTTCGTGTGTAATTAGGATTGTCTGTTCTGAGTATTTCAGTCTTGATTCAGGTCGTTGAAGCTCCAAATGATCCTCTTGTTAACCAAGACGGTGCAGCTCTATCTGCGTTTCAGTACTTTGAGAATCTTCGAAATTTTCTTGTGGTTGTGGAGGAAATGGGTATTCCAACGTTTGAAGTCTCCGATTTTGAGAAGGTAATGGAACAAATTATATCTGACGATCTAGGCTTAATAGATGAAACGTATCACCGAGGATTGTGGTATTTAGTTTGAGAGATGATGCCTAGTAGTGGTATCGCAGAACATTAGGGTTGATGCTAGCATAGGTTAGGTTCGAATCAATTGTCATTATAGTTATTCAAGGGCTCAAGGCAGCTTGACCTACCTTGCCGGAGGGGCTACCTAGACAAAGCTACCTAGATTAGTATTTTAGCAATTAGAATAACTCGCTGTACCAATCTACATTTATATAATGTGGAAATGAATTAACATTCTGTTTTGTGTTTGATTTGTTCCCAGGGAGGTAAATCCGCAAGAATTGTGGAGTGTCTTTTGGCTCTCAAGTCATATCGTGAGTGGAAACAGAGCGGAGGAAGCGGTACATGGAGATACATTTTGAACTCGAAACCAACCACGTTTGGAATCGCAAAACAATACAAACGTAAAGACTCAGAAGCACATGTGGATGCGGTCACAAGTAGCCCTTTTAGCACTCAATCCAGTGAACAACCTTTGTTTGATCAATCTGATTCTAATACCAAACATGAAGTTAGTGAGCTATACCAATGCCTAATATAATCCCTATTTTTGATTAAACTTAAAAATCTCAACTTACATTTTTTTTATTTTTTTTAGGGAACTGCCAATTCAATAGATGCCATTGTCCGTGCGGTTTTTTGTGACATGAAGCAAGAAGAATTCCCGGAGTAAGCAACTAACAACCCTTCCTATTTATTATTCTCTCACTTCATCAGCTGGGAACTTACCAAACGATTGATCAATATTATTTTGAAATGCCGGTTTTAGAATAATACTCCGTGATGTTCTTGTTTGTTTCCAGATTGTGGAAGATATGCTGAAAAGTGTCATGGTAGAATATGAACGTAGATTAGCAACACAAAACGAATTGGTAAGTAACTTTAGTTATACGCCCTTAAGATCTATATGGACTTATGGGCTTGATCTCATGTCTCTTGGATTACCATCTTGAATATGCAATTCAATTATTTAGATCCATATGAGCGCGGGAAACAAAGATAAGCTTGGCTGTGACGATCTTGGCAGAACTATTTCAGGAAATGAAGAGACGCTAAGTGATGCTTCGGTAAGGCAACCTTGAAATTGGTGGTCTTGTTATCCATATAAGCATATTACTCTTCATGGATCTGTTTATCGATCAATGTATTATATGGCAAACTGGTTTACATATTATTTTTTCAGTATGGAGAAGAAAATTTGTCAAAGATTGTAAACAACAACATGGAAGCTTCAGAAAATAATAATGTTGATGAATCGAAAAGCCAAGATTGTGAGCTCTATGCGATTTCAAAAGAGAAGACCGAGAAGCAACAAATGATAATCGACAGACAACAAACTCATACTGAGGTATAATTCAGTTGAATGTAAATAGTTATATATGACATCATGTTTCTTTTAAGAATTTTTATTTGGTGATTATCAAGACAGAGTGTATATGTGTTGGCAGGAACTGAAACATGATTTAAAGGCTGTAAAAGCAGGTCTCAGTCTCATGCAGATGAAATACCAGCAAGAGTTTACAAGCCTAGGTGAGATTCTACCTTACAACAAAGTTTGGACCTTGCGGATAGAAAATCTCATGTACCTAGAGATGGTTATATTATTCGTTTTAATTTAGTTATGATTGCAATCATTGTCTGATCATTATTTTTCAAATAAAATATATCCATTGTATTTTTACAATTTCCAGCCAAGAAACTAATTGTAAGATTGTTCTTCTTGAGTTAGGCGAGCATTTGCATGGACTTGCTTATGCAGCTACAGGATACCAAAGGGTTCTTGAAGAAAACCGAAAACTTTACAATCAAGTCCAAGACCTCAAAGGTAAAATATAGTGTTGATAAAACAATCCATAATGCTACCATTACCAAGCTTGGATTTGCATTTTGTATTAATAATTTTAGTTTCTAAGATTTGCAATATCAAGTCTCACGAATTTATAACAGGTAGCATACGAGTTTATTGTCGAGTGAGGCCGTTCTTACCTGGACAAGAAAGTGTCTTAACTACTGTGGATCACTTGGAGGAGTCAACCATAACAATTGCAACCCCTTCAAAGTATGGAAAAGAAGGTCAAAAATCATTCACCTTCAACAAAGTGTTTGGCCCTTCAGCATCACAAGGTGATTTGTTTCCTGAAATTTTATCTTAGCCTGCTTTCAGTTTACAATGCATCTAAATTGTTCATGTGGATTCATCAAGACGTCAACTTGAAAATGCATCTAAATTTTGTATAGACATCATGATCAAGATGCATTTATATGCTCTTCACTTGAAAACTTTTGGCTTTTAGATTTATTTTATGTCAGCTCTCATTGAAATTTTTAACTTTCAATATGTAGAGGCGGTGTTTGCAGACACTCAACCTCTGATCCGGTCTGTTCTTGATGGTTATAATGTATGCATATTTGCATACGGCCAAACAGGATCCGGAAAAACTTTCACCATGGTACTTTTCTCGAAGACTTCAGCTTATTGTGGAATACTGACTTTTTGTATGCATATTTTCAAACGAAAACACTCTGAACTATCCTCATTTGTAATCAGATGGGACCTAATGAGCTCACGGATGAGAGCTTAGGAGTAAACTACAGAGCATTGAGTGATCTCTTTCATTTGTCAAGTGTGAGAAAAGAAACCTTTTCATATAACATTTCAGTTCAAATGCTTGAAATTTACAACGAGCAAGTCCGAGATCTCCTTGCCACTAACGGCCAAACCAGCAGATATCCTTTTTTAAGACTTGTGTCTCTTTAGTGATTCCTAATGCTTCTTGCATATGATCATTGTACCTACATTCCTTGACTTGTGAACACATTAGAGATTCGAAACAGTTCACAAGATGGAATCAACGTACCAGAGGCGACATTGGTTCCAGTCTCCACAACTTCAGACGTCATTTATTTGATGAATATTGGTCAAAAGAACCGTGCGGTCAGCGCCACAGCCATGAATGACCGCAGCAGCCGCTCTCACAGGTTTTCCTTTTTCATGTTTGTATAAGCATACTTTTAGTGTCATTGTGTGAAATGGAAAAGAATTTGGACTTGAAGAAATTTGATATATTGAAAATTAAAAGAGAAATGAGAAACATAGAGCATAAGAGAGAATATAATGGTCACTTATAAGAACAAGTACTCACTCTTCCTCAGTTCATGTTATAATAGTCACTTACATGTTTTATTCTTTATACTTGCAGCTGTCTCACTGTACATGTCCAAGGAAAAGATCTAACATCAGGAGTCACTCTAAGGGGTTCAATGCATTTGGTTGATCTTGCGGGAAGTGAAAGGATCGACAAGTCTGAGGTCACTGGTGATAGGTTAAAAGAGGCACAACACATCAACAAGTCTCTCTCTGCTCTAGGAGACGTGATTGCATCTCTCTCTCAGAAAAACAACCACATTCCTTATCGCAATAGTAAACTTACTCAACTGCTCCAAGACGCTTTAGGTAACCAGCAATACTCAAGTGCTAGACTAAAAGTTCAATCTGAATCTAGTCACGCATAACATTTATGCAACTCCAACTTCCAATTGTTAAAATGGTTTCCATTTGAAGTATAACATATAGTTCTACATTTCATTCCATTTAATTCTTTACTTACAAGTTAAATCATATGATTTTGTGTTAAAACACTGTATGTGTGTCTATGTAGGAGGACAAGCGAAAACGCTCATGTTTATTCACATTAGCCCTGAAGTAGAAGATTTGGGAGAAACACTCAGCACCTTGAAATTTGCAGAGAGGGTGGCCACTGTTGAACTCGGTGCTGCTCGTGTCAACAAAGACACTTCTGAGGTTAAAGAACTCAAAGAACAGGTCATTATCTCCCATACTTTTCTTCACATCATTTTACAATTTATTCTCTCAAAATACATTGTCAACATCAGTTACCTTTGTTATTTGCTTTCAGATTGCTAGTTTGAAACTTGCGCTAGCGAGAAAGGAGAGCGGATCAGATCAAACACTGCTCCCAAGACCCCTTACGCCTGACAAACTTCTCAGAAAAAAGTCACTCGGCGTTTCGTCTTCATTCTCTAAATCAGCAAACACAAGACAGTTCCAAACCAAACATAAGACATCATCACAGATTGATGATCTCAACAACATTGAGGTAAAGGGGACAAGAAAACTCATGCACCAATCACACAAAATAAACTTGAAGATACGTTTTGCAGTGATTACTTCATAATGTACAGTGAAATTACTTGCAGGGTCAAAGTGACTCTGCATCTAGCCTTGACTTACAAGGACTAGTGGGTTCACCATCATGGAAAAGCCCGTCGATGGATGAGAAAGAGGAGGAAATAGAATTTATACCAGCTGGAAGTGAATGGGTTGATAAACACGAGGACGAAATCACACGTAGTAGCAAACCTGAAAACAGATCACATACACAGCTTGAGAAGCGATCGTCTAGCTTGAAACGTGAGCCAACGCGAGGTGTAGACCATAACAAGTGCAGTAATAATAATGTAGATAAAGGATTAGAGGTAAGGAAGATTCCATACGAAGAAGAAGCAAATGAGTCAGATGAAACCGCAACAAGTGATTGCTCGGAGACTAACTTGATGTGGCAGTTGAATGTTCAAGTGAATATGCCTAGACCAGCTTCTAATGGTTCTTCAACTAAGCTAAAGAAGAATCAATCAAAAATCAATAGAGTTGCTGCTGAGACCAGGTGAGTTATTTTTTATATTTTTTATTTAAATGATTTGTTTTTTTTTTTTTGCTAATGGAATGTTGATGATCAGGAGTATGATACCTTCTTTAATTCCCACGCCTACGAGGAGACTATCGCTTGGGGCAATTAGCACACCAGGACAAACTTCCTCAAGGCATAACAACAGTACAGTAGTTGTGAAGAAGAGACAAAATCCCAAGTAATGATGAAAACATTTTGTGAGTTTTTGTACAATACCAAATATTTTTTGGCGGACCCATATTCATAGTATGAGGTCATATATATACAGACGCCGTATACGAAGAGTAGAATACGTGTGAGAGTGATAGATTGTACTATACTATAGGTTGATTATGTTTCGTTTGATTCGGGTGGCATTTACTAGAATGAATATTCAATTCTTTCTATGTGGCCAATATTGTATACTACTACTTCAGTACTTGTCGAAGCTAATGTATTTTCTTATTCACTGCTACTTTCATCACAAGAGAATTGCATTTTCTGTTTTACTTTCCATAATCTCGATTTATAGATACTTTTTAACAAATGACTAGATTTTAACCCGCGGTACACCGCGGGGCTATATTTTCTTAAAAAAATCAAAATGTAATTTGTTTGATAGATTATTTTGATTGTTAATTTTAGGATTTCACCCGTGGTATACGATCTTTTATAAATATCAACCCAAACCCGTCCCATCATATTACCCGTCCCGTGTAATTAAACATTATTTAGTTATTTTTCTTTTTAATAATACTTTTATTTAAAAGCTATATAATTCAAGTCAATTTAAAAATTTCTTTTAAATGGTTCCCATAAGATATATATACACATATATTAAATTTGTATAGATTTGAAATAATATTAATATTACAAATTTTTTATATAATTTAAATATTATAAATATTTTTAAAAATATGTAATATATATTTTTTGTTATTGAATAAGAGGATATTATGTGTAAGAAATGTAGAAAATAAGAGTTTAATATTTTTATTATGGAGTCGCAAAAAAAATCTTTTATTTCTATACATGTTATTCATTTATTAATAATAAAAGAAAACAAATCCTTTAAATTAGATATTAACTAAAATAAACGCACCATAATTACTTATTAAGTAACAACCAATAAATTTCACCAAAAAATAGGTAACAACCAATAAATTCTAAACGCAGTAATTAAAGAATGAGATATTAAAAAAAAAATATCAAATAAGATATAAGAATCTTAAAATAATTGAACATCTAAATAATTTAATTGTTAGTGTCGATTTTAATGCCTTCATTAATGTGGATTTTTTTTTTTACAGAGAAATATTTCCTAAAGATTATCACATTAATGATTCAGAAAATTAAGGAAGATATGAATTTATGATTCTCGAAATCGTATTGGTAATATCTTTAATTAATATTTTTCAAATTTAAATAATTAATGCCAATGGCATTCATCCGTAAATAAGGTCCAACTCCAGGATTTATTTGCTAAAAGTCATTCAAAAATGTATATATAGATTTGTCAAGGTAACAAATTTTGTAAGTTGATACTATATTTGTTAAGCTAGGTGATAAGAACCGAATTAATTTTTCAGTGGCAGTTTGACTAGATGGATGGTGATGTAAAACTGCTACAAGTAAATTAGTCAAACAAATATTGAATAATGTGTCCAATATGACAAGATTTTTATAAAAACAGCCAATTTTATTAATTATTACTACGTACGTATATGGTATTATTTTTACTATTAGTCAAAGTTAATCAACTTTTTTTTTTCTCCCTACCCTAAAATAACCTTATACATTTAAGGAATTTTTTTTCTTTTTATTACGATGGTTAATGCTTTAAAAAAAGATTTCACGAATCATTTCCAAAAAGAATACTATTTCTATAATTAAACTTAAAAATATACACTTACCTAAAGCGGGACTTTTTAGGGGTAATTCCGTAATTTCAAAAAGTTCATCATTTTTCCTAAATTAAAATTAGCTGTCTCTAACTCTAACCCCCGCGTCGCTTTTTCTTCCCAATCTGAGAAAATCCACAAAACTCACTCTGCAACCTTCGTTTCTCTTCTTCTTTCTAAAACCTCTCACGCGGTTTCAGACTTCCGTTCGATTACCGACGACGGCTCGGAAATTCTCTCCGGAGAAGCAGCGAGGTCCTTAGCATTATCTACGAGTCATCTTCTCTGCTAGATCTGTTGTGTATGCTACTCGCGATTTCATTTTGGTGAGTTTCATGGTTTCTGACCGGTGAAGATGCCTCAATTACTGTTATTTTACTGATTTTTCTGTTGCTTTTGCTCGATTCTACTTTCGATACATTTTCCTGCATCTCTAAAGATAGCCAAATGTTGGAGATTCTAGAATTCTGTAGATTAGGGTTTTCCTCTGCATTATCTCTAGATTTTCTTTTTGTACTAAGTTGTTACTCAATTTCATTGATTAGAATTGTATGCTAAATGATTGCACCAACTAAATAATTTTTTTCTGTGATGAACAAGATTTTGTTCCAGCCAATGCTGAAGGCTAGACTGAAATGAGCGTGTCAAAAGCATCCAGGACTACACATTCGCTTGTTCCTCTTGCTACCCTGATTGGTAGGGAGCTGAGGAGCGAGAAAGTAGAAAAGCCTTTTGTCAAGTATGGTCAAGCTGCTCTCGCTAAGAAAGGAGAGGACTACTTTTTGATCAAAACTGACTGTGAGAGGGTACCTGGTGATCCATCATCAGCTTTTTCAGTTTTCGGGGTAATTCACTCTGTTGAGCCATTCTTCCCTTTAAGGAACCCCTGTGTAGTGTAGAAGCATAGCGCTCTCTTAACTCAAAACTCCCATGAGCTTACCCTTTTTTGTTTTGTCTTCAGATATTTGATGGACACAATGGTAATTCAGCTGCCATATATACTAAGGAACATCTTCTCGACAACGTGGTGAGTGCAATTCCTCAAGGCGCTAGCAGGGAAGAGTGGCTTCAAGCTCTTCCTAGGGCTTTGGTTGCTGGCTTTGTCAAAACTGACATAGAATTTCAGCAGAAAGGTCTACGCTTATGCTCGTTTTTTAAAGGCCTTTGCTTTCATATTCTTTTTTTTTCAAGCATGTTCTAACCGTTAAGATCTGTTGTGCTTACAGGGGAAACTTCAGGAACAACCGTGACTTTTGTTATAATTGATGGTTGGACTATCACTGTTGCTTCTGTTGGTGACTCACGCTGCATATTAGACACCCAAGGTGGTGTGGTTTCTCTACTGACTGTTGATCACAGGTTAGAAGAGAATGTTGAAGAGAGAGAACGCATAACTGCCAGTGGAGGTGAGGTCGGAAGGCTCAATGTATTTGGTGGCAATGAGGTATGATCATGTCCAGTAAATTTAAGTTACTGCTTCATTTTCTTTTGGCTTTAGTGGGTTTGAAATTTGTGATAAGTCTTGGATTTTCAATGATATAATGTGCTTTCATTTTGACAATGCAATAGGTCGGGCCACTACGATGCTGGCCTGGTGGTTTGTGTCTTTCGAGGTCCATTGGTGATACGGATGTGGGAGAATTTATTGTCCCTATACCACACGTTAAGCAAGTGAAAGTAAGCTCCCTTGCCTTGGTGCATTTTTCATCACTTCTTATATTAGACACTGAACAAATAGGAATATTTTATTGGTACATTCAGCTTCCAGATGCTGGAGGGAGACTCATTATAGCTTCAGATGGTATATGGGATATACTGTCTTCTGATATGGCTGCCAAAGCTTGTCGTGGTTTATCTGCCGAGCTTGCTGCTAAACTTGTTGTTAAGGTTTGTGATCAACCCCGTTGAATTAATTGTGTCCTTCCTCCGGTCTAGATTCCTCTTATTCTCTGAATCATATGTTTTACCAGGAAGCATTGAGAACTAAAGGGTTGAAGGATGATACGACTTGTGTAGTTGTTGACATAGTTCCATCTGGTCATCTTTCCTTGGCTCCAGCACCCATGAAGAAGCAGAACGCATTCACCTCATTTCTTTCTAGGAAAAACCATACGGATTCCAACAACAAAAATGGCAACAAGCTTTCTGCTGTGGGAGTTGTAGAAGAATTGTTTGAAGAAGGTTCTGCTGTACTTGCAGATAGGTAAGAATCAATATTGCCAAACTCTTATCCAACCCATTACCCGTTAAGTAACTGAAACTTCAGATCCTGACTACCAGTCTTTGTTGACTCCTGTTTTGAAATGTAGATTGGGAAAGGATCCTCCCTCACATACGGAAACTGGGCTCTTAAAATGTGCTGTATGCCAAACAGATGAATTTCCGGGTGAAGATTTATCAAGCAATGGGGGTTCCATCATTTCCTCAGCATCTAAACGATGGGAAGGTCCCTTTCTGTGCACAATATGCAAGAAAAAGAAAGACGCCATGGAAGGAAAAAGACCAAGCAAAGGTTCAGTGACTACTTGAAGTCACTTGTGTGCAGGAAAAAGAAGTCAGAATATCCGGTAAGAAATTCGTATGTTTCTCGTTTTCTTATCTACCTTCTTCTGGTGTGCTCTCTTGGTTTTGTGTTCTTTTCCCAGGCTTTAATTGGAAAGTAGTGGTAATAGTAGAAGTGTATGCAAGTGTTTGTAGAGAGAGAGAGAGAGAGAGAGAGAATAGATCCAATTCTTATCCATTGTTTAAGATTTCCCTGGATTGCATTCTTGGCTTTATGCTGACCATTTACCTTCGTAGATGTGTTTTTATTTGGGAAATTGCTGATATTCTAACAAGAGTTTCTAAGTTGTAAGTAGAAATCATATTTTTGATTATTGTCAATCCTATTGCACCCATTCATTGAAGTTTATTTCGGTTTATATCTTTCCTCTGGTTATGCGAAATGAGCCAATGTGACCATGAACTCTTGGTTTTGTGATTACTACTGTTTGATTTGGTCTATGCTTTAAGATGCGGTCTTGAATCTAGAATCTTTTTTTTTTTTAATCTAGAATGTTTGTGGTTTTGTGATTGTATGGTTTACTTGGTTCGATATGGCCGGTTTACGTTTGTTCGGAAGTCACCGGTTACCCAGCAGAAAAAAATCAGAGTTTCTATTTATTTCGGTTTACAGAGAGAATATTTTCATGGACGCCATATGAGTCTACTACAGATTTGAAAAACCGTCGTACCAAAGATAGTTTCGAATAAAAATCTCAAACACTATTCCTCATTTCACAAAACAAACGAAAACTGTTGAATCACAAAAAAAAAAAAAAAAGAAACAGAAACACAGAATGGAGAAAACAGAGGAAAGCGTCGGAATCAGAGTTTACGCGACTCCGCCGCAAAAACCATCACCACCACTGTCTAGGTCGCCAAAACCTGTCCTACTCTCTTCACTGCTTACACTTCCGGCAGGAGCCGCCGCAGGAGGAGGAAAATGTGGAAAACGTCGCATGGTGGCGAAAGGAGTTCAAAAAACGGTTTCGAAGACATCAATGCTCGTTAGTTTCCTTCCGACAGGACTCTCTTGATGTTCGAAATGGTTCTTCCGTCAATCTACCGTGACGGAGACTGTAGCGGAATCAACACACTCATGATTCATCTTCTCTTGCTTCTTTGTGCAATGTCTTGTTTCTTCTTCCATTTCACCGACAGTTTCAAAGCCTCCGATGGGAAAATCTACTACGGTTTCGTGACTCCACGTGGACTCGCGGTGTTCATGAAACCGCCTTCGCCGGAGTTTGGAGGGGGAGATGTGATTGAGGAGGCGGAGATTCAGGTGACGGATGAGAGGTATAAGTTGAGGGTTAATGACTTTGTGCATGCAGTGATGAGTGTTTTGGTTTTTATGGCGATTGCGTTTTCGGATCGGAGAGTCACCGGGTGTTTGTTTCCAGGGAAAGAGAAAGAGATGGATCAAGTTATGGAGAGTTTTCCGTTAATGGTCGGAATTGTTTGCAGTGCTTTGTTTCTGTTGTTTTGTGATTTTTTTACTTCTTTTGTATTTGCCTTGTAATTTAGATTATCTGAATCTAATCCACTGTCTACTATACATCGTTTTCTAGCGTTTTACGAAAATAATTTCTTCGGTAAAGCCTAATATACACGTTTTCATTGTTTACATATATTTCATTATATTATGTCCTACAAAATAGTAGGTCGGTGAGCTTGTTTGTCGAGATGCACTCGAGTTTATGTCACTGAAATTATTATGATCTTATCTCCAATGATGCACTCGAGTTCATGTCACAAAAAATCATCAACCGAGTTTCAATAATTCTACTAGTGGAAAATGCGCTTCAAGCCTAAGGTTTCAGTCTCGTTGCCGGAGAAGAGAGACTAATTAACCTGGCAGCTTTGGTCTTTGGCACGTAGAAACTACGAGCCTAAGATAACCTCCTGACCATAGGCAAAAAAAAAGTAAGACTATACATTATCTAAACGAATATTTCAAATAATATCTGTCAGAACTTTTTCCGTAAGAAAGAAATATATTTTTCATTGGAAAAAACTTAAAGGTGAATATTTTCCATAATGATCTAAACCAAAAACCTCAAATACAGAACACAAACTATGTTTTCAGAGAACAAACTTTTATATCTTTTGTCTTTTTTTTATTGACCAAACCTTTTGTCTTCCAAGAAGGCAATGATATTAATTTTCAGGATTCGGCCCTTCGGTCCAAAATAGTAACTACTAGCTCATCGGTCACGTTTGTCGTCTCCAAAAAACAAAACATATATTTCATAAAACAGAAGAGAGAAAAAGAGAGAAGATCACTTCAATTGTGAAGAAGGATGATGTTACCAGAAGCATGCGTGGCGAATATCCTCTCTTTCACAACTCCGGCTGACACATTCTCGTCGGCGGCTGTCTCATCAGTTTTCCGAGTCGCCGGAGACTCTGACTTTGTCTGGGAGAAGTTTTTACCGACCGATTACTGCCACGTCATCTCTAGATCGAGTGGTCCTCACCGGAGTTTCTCTTCCAAAAAGGAGCTTTATCGATATCTCTGTGAATCAATTCTCATCGATAATGGCAGAAAGGTTTGTGATCTTTATCGATGTCTCTGTGAATCAATTCTTGGTTTCTTGTATAAAAACAAGAAATATTATATTCATTTCAGATTTTCAAGATCGAGAAGCTTTCAGGGAAAATATCGTATATTTTGTCAGCAAGAGATCTTTCTATAACTTGGAGCGACCAGCGACATTACTGGTCTTGGAGCCCTCGATCAGATTCAAGGTCATTATTAATTTAAAATCATATCATTGGTGTAACAGTGTAAGCAGTAATTTATTTTAACATTTCGATTATAGGTTTTCGGAAGGAGTCGAACTTATTATGACGGATTGGTTAGAAATCATCGGAAAAATCCAAACCGGAGTTTTATCGCCGAACACAAACTATGGAGCTTATTTGATTATGAAAGTGACGTCACGTGCCTATGGACTAGACCTAGTTCCGGCAGAGACTTCGATAAAAGTGGGGAATTGTGAAAAGAAAATAAGGTCAACTTATCTAAGTTGCTTGGATAACAAGAAACAACAAATGGAACGGATGTTTTACAGACAGCGAGAACAGAGAATGGCGATGGACAAGGTTGTTGGAAGTAATCGGAGGGAGCCAGAGTTGAGAGACGATGGGTGGATGGAGATAGAGCTCGGAGAGTTTAAGACAGGATCACGAGAAGGTGACGACGACGACAAGGAAGTTGTTATGAGTCTGAGCGAAGTTAAAGGTTATCAATTGAAGGGTGGGATTGCGATTGATGGGATTGAAGTAAGGCCTAAACTAAACCCCGCAAAAGTGAGGGACTAACTTAAAGAGGAGTGCCAAATTTTGTGTTTGTTTACCTTATGAGAATGTGTTGTAAGATGAGAAAATTATTTTGGTGGGTTGGTAATAACTAATAAGAACCGTAATTGAGTAATACATTATATTATGCATGTAGAGTAGACCAAGACTTGTCATCTGACAAAGAAAAAAGAGACTACGAATTGTCAAATCTTTGGTTCGCATGGCCGATTATTGTAACCTATAGTTTCTTGACATTTATTTGATAAGAGAATTAGAAAATTGATTAATATCCGTTAGGTATCATTTTGTTCAAACATCTCTGTCAATTGTATTTAAAATGACAGCGACAAAGTAATATCCATAATAAGTAGTGCATCACCAATTCACCATAAGTTGTACAAATACGAATAATTCTGTTTTAATGACATTTTGCAAAAATAGTAGACAAAGGGAGTTTTCCACGCTTTACCAAAGTGAAAGTTAATATTGAATGGGACAATAGAGAAAAGGACATGTCTTAATGTCGTCATTACATTTAGCACAACATGAGGATGAGGACATTCTTAGCTCATATCGAATTTCTAGTGTCACCTAATCTCATGTTAGGTGGCGCATAAAATTTGGTTAATGCAGCGTTGTTATATCGTGCAAGCACGTGTATGTAGTACTATTATATCTTTAACACCTAATATGTACATCGATATTAGGCATATTATTCCTAATGGTTTATACTTCATAGGCTTGTAGCAATTTGTTTAGGAAGTTCAATTAGGATAACCTAAATATATTTCTGAGCGAAATAATCAAAAAAAATTGAACAGATTATTAATCTTATTTGTTTAATGTTGTTTTTCATATTTGGAAAATTCAAAGCTTCAACGTAACGGAAGTAAACAGAACCAAACGTTAAAAGATTGAAAATAGAAAATCAATTAAACATATAAGTGGTCCAAGAGAAAAAATTTGAAAAAGATAACAATTAAGCACATACTTACGTAGGACTTGCTAAGTGATCGTATAAAGCAAAAAGGCGTAAAGCCATGCATGATTATACGGAATTAGAAACTGTAACCTTAGCTAAGGTTGATGTTCCCTCATAATATAAGTATCAAATGTTTGAAAACAAATCAAATCAAAGCTAAGGTTGATCCCGACAAAAACTCCATAAGTTTAGAGAGAACATAAAAGGAGATCATATTATCTCTCTCCGACACTGATTCACATTGACATTTGACATCATCCTCAATCTAGCCGCTCCATCTGCAACAAAAAATTTAGAAACTTTTGATTTGTGCTCTTCCAAAAATCGATTGAATATCATCGATGAGACTGCTTGGCAATAATACCAATAGAAAAGCCAGAGACAAGTATTGGTACCTTCCAGAGACCGTCGTTGAGGTAATGCATGTTGTCCACTCCAATTCCTTTGTTGATGCTCTTTCTGGGAACATACACACAAAAAAAAAAAAAAAAAAAAAAAACGAATTAGGAGTTTTAACTCAACATAGACTGATAAACCCAGTCAGAAAATGACTACTATCAAACAGAGACCAAATCCAGATTGTGATATGGCACTGAGAAAGGAAAAGTTTAGCAACGTGAAGGTAAATTCATGAGAAAACAGGCGAAAGACAGCCAAAACTTACATGTCCTTTGCTGACATTTTGGTGAAGCCTATTGCTAAGGCATGTTGCTTTCCTTCTGCATATATGGCCTAAACAAATACAGATTCATAGTTTACGATCAGCATAAACAAACAAAAATGCATCACAGGGTAAAGAGTGTTTTTGTTCATACCACTGGCCTTTCAACGTCGACTTCTTCATCCAGAACGCCTCCCGGGGATGTAAGACCAGGACACATTATGTTTGCACCAGAGAGAACAAACTTTATGGCACCTCTATCAACTTGAAACCTCTTCATTATATTTGGGTCTGCAAAACTCCAAACATTCAACTGCCAAAACTTGACATTCACCGCTAACGGATAAAAATCTAAGTTTCTTTCTATGTTTCATTCAAATATGTAAAAATTAGCCGAAAGTGGTGTTTTCAAGATTACATTATATTCTTCCGGTAACAGCCAATGGCAAAACCTTCTCAATATGATAAGGGTCAGCTAGCCCGAAAAACATAAAACAAAATATACTAAACTAAAATCCTGGCTAACCAATCATACATGGACCTTTAATATAGTTCACTAGCATGAGAAAAGCCAAAGGAACAACAACTTGCAGAAACCAAAACCCAGGAAATTCCAAATAACTCAGAGAAAAGTGTCGGGCATACTATTCAGATGTATGCAGTATTTGAACCAGGTAAGTTCTACTGCAGACCAAGGTGAAACTAACAAGTGTGAAGGAAGAGTGATTGTATGAATAAACACCCAGATATGTTATACTTTGATAACAAGACCATATAGCATGGCTGTTGTCAAGGAAAAGTGATGTTACATTGATGAAGAAGACGCAAAGTTGGCATGTATGGCCCGTCACGGATACAGAAGAAGAGGGGGACATTGTTGACAACAACTAGGGTCAGATGGTTTGGGCTGTACGAGAGATATAGTCAGAAATACTGTAAGAAATAGATAGTGGTAAAAAATAATTCAGAAAACAAAACAATGATATATGAGTTTGTTATTTTACAGACCACTTCACTACGATAAGAGGAATCTTTTTGGGAAGTAGATCCTCCATCACTGATTCAAGTCCCGGGTACTGCAACATTTACATAAACGCCTTAACATCTTACAAACTACACGAAATCATAAAAGTTTAAGAAGGGAAAAAAGACAAATGAAACAACAGGCATACCTCATCTTGAATACTCTGGCGGATCCTACGTTGAACAGATGCCTTCACTTGGTTTTGTGATGAAATCTCCTCCAAACAAAACCTATGTAATAAATAGTGAACATAAATAACACCTTCATACATATATTGGTATAGCAAATAGATCTAAAGGCCTGTCCAAGTAGAAGACTATTATAAGAAAATAAAAGACCACTTAAACTTTGTAGTAGGTAAAGAATAGACTTTATACAAGAGTCAATAGGAATGTGTAAGCATGTTTCAGAAGATATTTGATTTTGAGAAGTCAAAACCTTCTACTTTGAAGAAAAGATAAGAACCAACATGCACATACCGAGACTAATCAAAGCAATCGAATTGGACAACAAGGTACCACCAACAATGTGGTCGTCAACAAGTAGAGAAGCTTGGGAGCTCTCAAAAGTTATAATAGTAAGTGAACACTAAATAAAGAGACCTATCACATTCTTTATTAACTAGTACAAACAATGCTGAGATGTTGAAAACACAAATTCTAAGATTCTACAATCCTAGTTAAGAGGTGGATGATAAAAGTATGAAAACAGTTGATATAAATATATATATATATATATATATAAAAAGAGTAGAAAGAATCTAGAAAGAGAGAAAGATGCTTACTTCTTGAACATGTTGGAAGTTTTATTGAAAATGATCACCAACTTCTAACTATGGTGTCTTCCCTGCAAGCGAACATTGGAAGTTGATTGATAACAGAGATTTTCAGAAAATAACACAACAAACCAAAAATGGGACAAATTCAATAGGAAAAATACTGAAATTCCAAGACTATAAAAACCAAACGGAACAGAGGAGGAACTCACGGACTGAGCGAGACCGGGTACGGTGTGACGGAAGATTCCTGGCAGAGAATGGGCTGGACGGAGGAGATACTAGTCGGCGATTGAGATTTGAGAGGTGGTAGTAGTGGAACCGAGAGAATGTTTCTCTCCAAAAATCCCCAAGTGTTTCCCGATCTAGCGTCTCTCTTTTGTACCAAAAACGACAGTGTTTAAGAAAACCTAGGACAGTGAATGACCCGATGGTCCGAATCCGATTCGAAATTGGTTAGAATTGTAATAACTAACATAATTCGCGGTTTGAATAAAAGAAGAAAAAACACATTCGATCCATTTACAGGCCCAGTAAAACATATGGGCCAGTCTTGATCAATTGGGCTATTTATCACCAGTTAACGGCAACCAATTCCGTTTTATAAAAGGAAACTCGTTTCCAAAGAAAACGAACGGTGGTTGTCTTCTTTCCAGAACAATCTAACGCTTTCTCGAACATCTTCTTCTCTTCTGCGAATGTGAGTTTTCAAAATTTATTTTTCCAGTCATCAATTTCTTCTACTCGAACTTATTTCCTGGGTAAATTTTGTTCTTGCTCTGAGGTATCAGATGAGTAGCCGATGGAATCGTACGATCTACGTTGGGAATTTGCCTGGAGATATTCGCATGCGTGAGGTTGAAGATCTCTTCTACAAGGTTTCAAAATTCCTCTTTTCTTTTAATAAAAATTGAATTCATTAGAACTACTTGTGTACTCGCAGCAATAATATCTTGTTTGGATTCACAAATTTGCAATTCTATCTTGCTGAAATTTGCTCTGAGGTTGATCGGCGCTTATGTATCTTTGTTTCAGTATGGACCAATTGTGGACATTGATTTGAAGATTCCACCGAGACCTCCTGGTTATGCCTTTGTCGAGGTATATGTTATTTATCATTCTTGATTAAGTATATATTTGTTTTTCTTTTTTCTTTTCTTATTGTAATATTACTGTCTAAGAGTTTGTTATTGATGCAGTTTGAAGATCCTCGTGATGCAGACGATGCAATTTATGGACGTGATGGTTATGATTTTGATGGGTGTCGTCTACGGGTTAGTAAACGCATTCATGTTTTACCAGCTTGTTTTGTTTTTATCTAATTTCTTGTGAAGATGTTATCGTTGTGTTATGTTTTTAGGTTGAGATTGCACATGGTGGCCGTAGAGGTTCATCATCAGTTGATAGGTACAGCAGCAGCTATACTGGGAGCCGTGCACCTTCTAGGCGCTCTGCCTATCGCGGTTCGTAGTCTTCTCGATTGTGTTATTTTCCGTTGTATAAAATTTTATATTTGAAAACTCATTTTTACTCCCTAAACATGTAGTGCTTGTGACCGGATTACCTCCTTCTGCTTCGTGGCAGGACCTTAAGGTAATAGTCTATTGGAGACTGTATAGTCGTTTTTTCTGGATGTTGATTCTCTATATCATGTTTTGAATTTATCTTTTCTTCTGAACTGATATTTTTTGCTACGTATGGGTGAATAGGATCACATGCGAAAAGCTGGAGATGTCTGCTTCTCTGAAGTTTTCCGTGACCGTGGTCGTGAGTTGACTTCCGATAGTTTGGATAAGCTTATGATAGATTTTTTTAGTAACTTAGTGTTTGTGAAAGAGACTAGATCTGATTCATGATTGATGTGCTTACGTTGTTTTTAGGCATTTGAACTGCAAAACTCACATCTAACATTTCTTTGTAGGCATGTCTGGGGTTGTGGATTATAGCAACTATGATGATATGAAGTACGCGGTAAGTTGTATATCTTTGCAATGTAAAAGTTCCGGTCGTATGCCTTAAGTCTGCTTTTGTTTCATAGTATACCGAGCTGAATTTTATCTTCCTGGAGGCCAATGTTGGATCTTTGATGTTCCCTTCAATTTTTTAATTTAACAGATAAGGAAACTTGATGACACTGAGTTTCGAAATGCTTTCTCTAGAGCCTATATACGGGTATGTTGTATTGCTCTCTAATTCTATGATTTTGTTAAGCATCAGATGGATATGCACGCAGTCATCTCTGACTTTACTGTTCAGGTGAGAGAATATGAGTCGAGGAGTGTGAGTCGCAGCCCAAATGATTCTAGAAGTTATAGAAGCAGGAGTCGGAGCCGTGGTCGAAGCTGTAGCTATAGTAGCAGGAGCAGGAGGTCTTTTTTTTTTTTCTTTTATAAAACTAATACATAGATGGGACTCTACTGCTCAAACTTATTTATGAAAGTTTAACTGACTTTAAAATGCAATGCAGTGTGTCACCTGCTAGATCTGTTTCCCCACGTTCACGGTCCCTTAGTCGTTCTCGTTCGCCATACAGCTCTGTCTCAAGGTATGGGTGTTAGATCTTTATAATTATTACATATGTTGTTCCTCTTTCATGGATTACTAGCTCTTGCATATTGGAATCCTCACTGACTTAATTACTTACAAGTAAGCACCTTTTGTTGGTTCCGCACTCAGTTGAATTTGTTTGACTCTTTTTACCCGCCTAGTGGACTAGTCGATTGCCACTTGAACTGTCTTCCTATGTTAAGGTTTTCTATGTCATACAAGCTCCAGTATAGGTGAAAGTTACCTCCTCGTTTGGGATCTCCAGAGTTCCTTTTCATTTCAAGTTCTTGACAGAGATGCTCCCGTCTTTTGTCCCTTTACTTTCTGTTTGTGTTGTTCTCTTCTGGATGTTTTCCTTCAGATAAAGAAGCTTTCCTTCTCAACTTTGTCCAGCGACGGTGAACTTATTACTAATCAATCTACAATATCCGACTTATAATTTAAAGAACACTTCGCTAGATGTTTTCATACTTTGATGATTTATTTCTATCGGGAGGGGAAAGATGGATTTCTGAGGCCTGTCCTTGATCATTTACAGTGATTACAATTGTATTGCCTTGTTTGTTTTCTAGATCTGGCTCACTGCTGCGAGCTGGGGATTGGATCTTAGGGACTTGATGGGTCATCTAGATGGATTCTTGGACTGGATTTACAAAGCTGGATTAGCATGAACTTGAACTTCTGTTTTTCGGTTTGGTCTGGTCTGGTCTGGTACTTCGCGCGTATCAGCTGTAGGATCTGATCGAAAAGTTTTGGAATATGATTCCTCAATATATTATCTTTTTGACAATACTGGATTATGTGTTGAGTTCTTTTCTAGGCCAGCATTTAAGCTCCCGAGACGGATGGGAGATGGGCAGTAAATTGCTTTGTTATGCCACACTTACATGGTTTTTTCTTTTGTCTTGCTGCAGGTCCAGATCAAGATCAAGATCAAGATCAAATTCTCCTGTTTCACCTGTAAGTCTAAAAGGTTAACCTTCTTTAATTCACAATCCCTAGAGTATACTTAAATAGGTGCTCACATTGTTTGTTCTTCAATCAACACCAACTTAACCAAACCATGAGAAAGACTAGAGAACTTTGAGGAGTCTGTAGAGTGACTAGGTCTGACCCACCTTCTGTGTGCACTTAAAATATCATCTCTCCCAATGTCTCAGCAATATAATCTACCTTTGTTTCATCATTTCTTCTTCACTTAACGGTATTACAAATTTTGTTTTACAGGTGAGATCTGATTGAAAATGAAAACTGATGACTGGCTGTACCCGAATCGTCTCATGCTTCTCAGGGTCTACTGCTAATAGAATCTGATACGGATTTGGGATTATCCTGCTGGTTTTCTTGTATGGGACGACCAATATGTCTTTCTAGTTTTAGTTTTTGAACATGGAATTGGTCTGTTATTGTGTCATTAAGAAAGCCAGAAACTTTATCTTGGCTGCATATTAAAGTTCATCAGACGACGTGGTGCGTGTGTTGTGAGGTTTTTCCATACAAATATTTTACATTACAACTACTGGAAGTGTGGTGTCTTTTATGATCCTCTTAAACTAAATTTGCAGTGCCAAAACTTGCTTTTGTGTTTGGTTACTAAAACGGTAAAAGTAAAACCCCTGCCTGAACAACACACTAGCACAAAAGTTTTGAATAAACAACAAGGCCCAAAATAATTGCAATTAGTCAAACCCACGAGTCTATTGAAACTAGGCCTGGGTCTCTCAAAATGGGGCCTGGGTTATTCCCGAACCCGACCCAATATTTATTCTCTCCCCTCCAAAGCATCGCTAAATCCTCTGGTTTGCTTTCTCCAACCAGTCCATTTTCGCGAGCTTCCGTCTGTAAGAGCTCCTCGACCATGGCGTCTTGCTTACAAGTATCCATGAATTCTCTGCTACCACGCTCTTCTTCTTTTTCTCCTCATCCTCCTCTATCCTTGAATTCATCCGGGAGAAGGAACTTGAAGACTTTTCGTTACGCCTTTCGCGCCAAAGCCTCTGCCAAAATCCCTATGCCTCCGATAAATCCTAAGGATCCGTTCCTCTCAACGCTCGCTTCTATTGCTGCGAATTCTCCGGAAAAACTTCTCAATCGGCCGGTTAACGCTGATGTGCCGCCGTATCTTGACATCTTTGACTCCCCTCAGCTTATGTCTTCTCCTGCTCAGGTGAACTATTCTCGTCTATTTCCGATTCCCGATATGATGATTTATATAGGTGCTTTGCGTTTAGTTAAATCGTCAAGTATATCCAGCCTCTAGTTCTTACACACAGACTGACTTCATTTTGGATATATGGGCGTAATAGAAAGCTCCATCAACATCTTTGATATTGACTAAGCAACACTGTGATTTGATGAGTTTGATAGTCGCGACATCACTTTGATTTCACTGCTTCAAATCCGCTGATGGAATCTATTGGTTGAAATTAGGTTGAAAGATCAGTGGCTTATAATGAGCACCGACCGAGAACTCCTCCACCAGACTTGCCTTCTATGCTTCTTGACGGGAGGATTGTTTACATTGGAATGCCTGTAAGTTATGTGGATTCTTATGGATTTTTTTGGTTGGGACTGCATAGACTGATGTTGTGGTGCTGACGGATTTTGCTTTCAGCTTGTGCCGGCTGTGACAGAGCTGGTTGTCGCTGAGCTAATGTATCTCCAGTGGCTAGATCCCAAGGAACCCATATACATTTACATCAATTCCACAGGGACCACTCGTGATGATGGAGAGACGGTGAGTTTGAAAATATTGTTTGAATGTTTTGGACCATTTTTCTTGTTAGTTCTAATTTCAGTGAACAACTCACTTAACAGGTTGGAATGGAATCAGAAGGTTTCGCTATCTATGACTCTTTGATGCAACTTAAAAATGAGGTATTGTTTATCTATGAGTAATCTGCTCCTGAAATGCAAACATATAAGTAATAAGTTTTGCTAGAAATTGCTCAAGCTACTTGATCTGTCATCGAGATAAGCATTTATTCGTCTCCCCAATATTTTTCATGTGAGCAGGTTGGTTCTTACTTGTACAGGTACATACTGTATGTGTGGGAGCAGCCATAGGTCAGGCCTGTCTATTACTTTCAGCGGGAACCAAGGGTAACCGGTTTATGATGCCACATGCCAAAGGTATACTACGACTACATTCTGGCCGCCTCTGTGGCCCACCATTGATAATCAGAACCTCTCAAACGTTTGATTCATTATGTCGCAGCGATGATCCAGCAACCACGTGTGCCTTCTTCTGGGTTGATGCCTGCCAGCGATGTCCTGATACGTGCCAAAGAGGTTTGATGAATCGCTCTACACACTTAATATTCTGGGAATTTAAATTTGACCAAGATTTACTCTTTTAACTTTGCTTCTACCTTCTTTCCTATATTATATCTCTGATTATTTGGGACACAAATTTCTCACTTAAGCATTTGGTTCCGAATTTCATGACCTATTGAGGTGAAGAATTTGAGTTTGTTTACTTCATCCTTCTCATTCCTGTTATGCAATTGCAGGTCATAACAAACAGGGATATACTTGTGGAACTACTAGCAAAGCATACTGGGAATGTGAGTGCCAAACATTTCGTTTACTACATAACTTTGAGTGGAGAAATTTAATAGCTGATTAAAACATTCTAATATGTCATTTAGTCCGTGGAGACTGTAGCTAATGTAATGAGAAGGCCATATTACATGGATGCACCTAAAGCTAAAGAATTTGGAGTCATTGACAAGGTAAGTTTAGGCACTGTAAATTTTGATGTTACTTTTCATATGCACATACTAAAAGATTAAGGTTATATATCGTCACCAAACAAAGTAACCTTTCCAGTCAAGATTCCCTCTGAGACTACCTTTTTCATAATCTCATTAGTGTTTCGTTGAAAGTTATCTGGCTGACACGTATTCCTTCAGATTTGAGACCTTAAAATTGCTTAATTTTTTTCGGTTTCCTCGTGGTTTAGGGTTCATCAGAGATATATGAGATTGATTGACTGAGTTTAAAATTTCCAAGTTTCCAGTTTGATGTCTTGGTTACTGAAAAATATTTATCAGTAAAGATGGTCTCATAATCATTGACAGATTCTTTGGCGCGGTCAAGAGAAGATTATTGCGGACGTGGTTCCTTCAGAGGAATTCGACAAGAATGCAGGGATTAAAAGCGTAGAACGAGTCTAGTTTCAAGTTTTCTTGGCTAAATCACTGTAAGTGACATGCTTAACTCTCCATCACTACTCTAGGCATGAATTTTTCAAGAACCAGGAAATATTCATTGGTAGTTAATGAATCTTATTAATGGAAATCTATCTAAAGCACCTGCATGCAAATCAGAATGTACGCTTGGAAATCTTATCTATAAGAAAAGTTGGTCCCCTTTCCTTGCTCTTCTCAGTGTACACTCTGATTTGTATTTGCTTGAACTCTCCTCATTTGCAGGTGTCAATGGAGAAGAACAAATAGACTGACAAAATCCACATTGGCCGCAGACTGCCTTGTTTCAGATCACTTGGTAAATGTGAATCATGCGATTAGGAGAAGCATACTAAAAAGGATCTTGAAAATTATATGATAAAAATTGTAATGTGTTTGTTCTTTAGCCATAGTAAATACAATCTTCAACTCTCTTCCTTCTTTCCCCCTCCGATTTCAATATTTAACAGTTTCATACTAGTTTTTCATTTGTCTTCACTTCTTTTTTGGTCAGCTTTTTTAAAATCTACATTATCAATTTGACCAGATTGAGTAGCAATAACTTGATTTAAAAACAGAAATAAGATTTTATATAGTGAAAAAATTAAAAAAAATAAATAAATAATGAGATATAAAGCCGGGGAAGAAAAATAAAAAAGCTCCGATGCCGGGAATCGAACCCGGGTCTCCTGGGTGAAAGCCAGATATCCTAACCGCTGGACGACATCGGATTTGATGTTAGCTTTTGAAAATGATGATACTTAATCAATAATATATTATTAAAATAAAGTTGTTTCAAACTGTTTTTATTTTTTTGTCTATTTATTTTGAGATCGCTCTTACTGGAATAAAACTCAGGCTGGTAAGGGAGATGGCAACGTCGACGGCGATGGCGGAGGATACGAGCTTCGAGGAAGACCAACTAGCTTCCATGACTCCTGATGACATCCCTAGAGCTTCTCGTCTCTTAGCCAACGAGATTCGCATCCTCAAGGTCACCACCCTCTCTCTTCTTTCTATATATTTTTTGAAACTGCTACTCTATATTTCCTCATTCCAAGTTCACTAATTACCTTAATTTGACTAGCCACACTTTGATTCGTTTTGAAGAAGATTGATGATATCTTACAGCAACGACAACTCTTATTTCATATCACACCCTTTATAATCAGAGAGATATCGAAATTCAAACTGCTTTTTTTAATAAGTGATTAGAAGACATGCATTTATTTGCTCATTGGATGAAATTCACGGTCCAGAAATATTGATGTATTTTCTCTCAAATACGTTGATTTTGTTTTAGGAAGAATTGCAGAGGGCAAACCTTGATTTGGAATCAGTGAAGGAGAAAAATAAAGGAGAACCAGGAGAAGATTAAGCTAAACAAACAGCTTCCTTACTTAGTCGGCAATATCGTTGAGGTACTTTTGTCTTGGGTGTTTCACTCTCATAAAGACCTTATATGGTGCTTTTGGTTTTGGTATGTATGACATTCCTTTTTGTTGAGTGACACAATTATACTATGCTTTTGATAACTAGTAGTTTTCACCTGATGAATTTCTTGAATCTTTGCCACAGTAGTTCAGACATTTTACCATTCAATTTTTTATGTGTAGTGATGGAATTAGATTTGATCAATTGTCCCTGCTTTCTAGATTCTTGAGATGAGTCCAGAGGATGATGCAGAGGAATATGGAGCGAATATCGATCTGGACTCTCAGAGGAAGGGAAAATGCGTCGTTCTTAAAACATCAACTCGCCAGGTGAAGTGTCAGATTCTTTTATCTCTGCTAGATAGTTTTTCAGAAATATTGGGGAACGAACATTGACCACTAGTGTAGTTAATATAAATGTATGAGTTTTTGTATAAAGATCTCATATATAGATTATGCTTTTCAGACCATCTTTCTCCCCGTTGTTGGACTTGTTGATCCGGATACATTGAAGCCTGGGGACTTAGTTGGAGTTAACAAAGATAGCTACTTGATTCTGGATACTTTGCCGTCTGAATATGATTCAAGAGTAAAAGCAATGGAGGTTGACGAAAAACCTACTGAAGACTACAATGATATAGGGGGACTAGAGAAGCAGGCTAGTTGATGACTCTCCTGTTTCGTGCTTCCTTAGTTTTTTAGTGTCTCTGGTACAATATTTGACGTTGGTGACTCTCCTGTTCTTGTCATTAAACAGATACAAGAACTTGTTGAAGCCATTGTGTTGCCAATGACTCATAAAGAGCAGTTCGAAAAGTTGGGTATCCGTCCACCCAAAGGTGTACTCTTGTATGGTCCTCCTGGAACCGGAAAGACGTTGATGGCCCGAGCTTGTGCAGCACAGACAAATGCAACTTTCCTGAAACTAGCAGGGCCACAACTTGTTCAGCTATGGAAACTAATGTAAACGTAACTGATTTTGATCTTATTCCTGTGAAATTTTTGAACCAAACGGAAAGTAACTTTTTGTACACTTATGTATAGATGTTCATTGGAGATGGAGCAAAACTTGTCCGTGATGCTTTCCTGCTTGCAAAAGAGAAATCCCCTTGTATTATATTCATAGACGAGATTGACGCAATTGGGACAAAGCGTTTTGATAGGTACTCTATCTAGAATCATGTCATAACTATTTTATTTATCTAGTCTTATTTTATTTTTCTTTCTGATGACTAATGCTGGCTTTTAATGGGCTTACAGCGAAGTTAGTGGAGACCGTGAGGTGCAAAGGACAATGTTGGAGCTGCTCAACCAGCTGGATGGATTCAGCAGCGATGATCGCATCAAGGTTGCCCCTCATACTATCCCTGCAAACGTCTATTTATTTAGTGCAAGGCGTGATAAACTCATAATTTTAGGAACTTAGGTTATTGCAGCGACAAATCGTGCTGATATACTAGATCCTGCCCTTATGCGTTCTGGTCGTTTGGATCGTAAAATCGGCACCCCACTGAAGAAGCTAGAGGCAGGATCTTACAGGTTCTGTATCCTTTACTTTTATCTTTTCTTTATTTGTTTATGTCGTTTTAAAGCTAAAATTAAAGAAGCTTCATGCACTAAGATAAGTCTTGATGTGATTTTCTTTGTATTCGGCGAAAAACTTATCTTGGGTACTGTTTGTTTTTGCATAATGTTGGCGATGGGGTTGCAGATACATTCAAGGAAAATGAATGTGAATGCAGACGTCAATTTTGAAGAGCTTGCTCGATCAACGGATGATTTCAATGGAGCTCAACTCAAAGCAGTGTGTGTTGAAGCGGGTGTGCTTGCCCTGCGCCGGGATGCAACTGAGGTATGCATATATGTCTCTCGTCTTAGTGGTTGTAACTTTAGGATGGATAATGAGGAGGAAGTGGTAAATGTGTGTGTGCAGGTGAACCATGAGGATTTCAATGAAGGTATAATTCAAGTACAAGCCAAGAAGAAAGCAAGCTTAAATTACTACGCCTAAGTCCTCTTTTATGTACACTCCTTTCTCCTATTTACATCATAGTAAAGTTCAAGTTGTAGTCTCAGCTTTTGAATCTGGAAGTGGAACCCCTTCAAAGTGTGGTTATAAAAATTCATTTTGACATATTTTGCTTTCTTCGTATTTGTTAATTTATTATTTCTACTTGCTTATGCAAATTTTATGCAATATACTAAGGTGTTATAAATATTAATAATGGTCTGATGGATGATTTAATAGAATTGAAACTAAAAATTCTCCTTGTGGAACTCAAACTTGGTCGTAGTTTTCCTAGAGAAATCTTGAGCTAGTCTCTTTAACTCTCCTATGATGCATGTATTACCACAGTAGAAAACCCCTACCAACAAAATAGAAAAAGTAAAATCAGTTACTAGAAAGATTCTACAATAGCTATGTAATCGTTGTGATAATGACATACCAACTCGTTGATTGACGTGGTTGACAGCAACGTGCTTGAAGACGCTACGCCAATCGGGACGAGCGAAATGGGTTCGGACCCGCGTGCCCGATACGATGTCAATGCCGCTCTTGGCATGGTGCAATGACTGCAACATTGTGATTAGTGCTGACCTCGCGTCTCCTTCCTCATACACGCTCGTACAGTAATTATGTAGTTCAATCATCCCCTCGCTATCGTACTCAGCTACCTCGTTCATGACCTCACTGAACCATTCCAATGATCCTTGCTCTCTTGTTACCCAATAGAAATAAGCTCGTTTTGTGGCAACATAGTTTTTTATGTGTTGGTTAGTGCCTTGTTCGATCGATTTCTGGTTCTTGATGTTGTTAAGGACGTCCCTGATTATGCTGATTAATGGCGTCGCTCCGATCCCTAGACCTACCAGAAGCAATACATCGTAGTGCCGGTAATCTTGTGCTGGTGCTCCATATGGACCATCGATTAACAGCCTCGGAAACCTTTCCATGTAAAATTCATTAGAAAAATTTGTATGCTCATGTTTTTAAAACATGATTATATATACCAAATACTGTACCTAGTTATATTGTTGGCTTGACCTATGTCAGCTATGAAGAGCCCACTTTGACTTGTCGAGGGAAGTTGACAAACCTATGGTTTTGTAATTAAAACAAATTATAAAGCTAACTAATCACGTATATATCATCAATTCATAAATGTTATTACTCTTGAAAACTAGTAACCTTGGAAAATAAGGATTTGAGTTGCGATGTCCAAAACAGATTGTAGAAACACCTTTAAAATCTTGACAGCCTTGGCACCTGGTCTAAATGCACGAATCAATCGTTCAGATGCATATAGTAGAACGGAAACAGCCAGATACATCCACGTCTGTCAAATGTACGTAATAATAACAAACGATACTTTCATCAAAAAAACTATTATGATCTTTCTAATTTTCTGAAAATTTCCATGATTAATTAAGACGCAAGAAAGGATATATGTATATATACGTACCGTCTTGTGGTACCATTCCTTGGAGAGATAGATAAAATAGCCATGCACGATTAGAAGCACATAAACGATGACAAACAAATGGTGCGAGTACCAAAACGCGTTGAAACCCGTCAATCGTTTCAACGATTTTGGTAGGTTTGCCCGGTTGCGTCTGAACCAAGACTGCGCCAAGACGTAGGCCACTACCATTAGAACCACCATGGTGACTCCGGTCCAACCATCTGTCCCTTTCATGAACCATCCGTAATTGTCCGGCCTCTCGTCTCCGAAAAACCTTTTTACTGGCTCATATTCTACATTTTTTGCATGCAACAAACGCGGGAAATCGCATGCCAGGTGAGATATGGCGTGTAAGCCAGTTCCAATTGCGATCCCAAACGCAATAACCTGCATGGAAATAAAGATTAAGCATAACCAAATTTTTACCACAATCGTATGCCTTTTTGTATTCTTCTATAAAAAAAATACACCGATATTTATTGGCTAATGAAAATTATATAATGTGTATAGATATGATATTAATATGCATAATAATTTACCTTGTGGAAATTGATGTTGTCATCAAATGGAACAACGGACCCAATAAGCTTTGACTTGGTCCTTAGCCAAGTTATAGTGTTCCTACAAACGGGCAAGAGGATGAGAGCCATGTTGAATTTCAAGGTCTCCACTGCCTTTGGCCACTGAAACACAGTAGCCCAACACCTCGAATACGGTTTTGCGTTTATACTGGAGAAATTTCCAAGTGAAGAGAGCGATGCAAATGGATATCCACAATGTTAACACCCAAATCCTTTTCCAATTTTCCAAGAAGTAGTATGAAATATTCCTAGCAAATCTTTTCACCGGGTTCCGATCTTTCGTTGGTATCAGCTTCTGACTCAACATCTTGTTGAGTGCACGTTTGTTCGCGGAAGATGGACTGTTGTTTGATTGGCTTGGAACTTGGAGAAGCAATGTTTCCAAGTTGTGTAGCTGCAAATAAACCATTGCTCAACTATATTTGTGAACACATTGAAATAACAAAAACATTTAATTGATTATAAGGATTTAAACCTGTCTTTTTTATAATGATGTTAAACAAGTGTAACCATTAGATAGTAGACAACGAACCTCAATATATCCGAGGTTGTTGCGATCGAGTTCTTCCATGATCAAGGCAGCATATTCATCTACATTTTCCTTAATCTTTGATAGTTTGTTCGCCGAAGCACTTAAAGCAATTATCTACGATTAAGCCGAAACAAAACTTAGATTCTAACTTTTCTTTTTATTAGGACTCTAACGAAATATAATTAGGTATCGCTATTAATTTATCTTTCACCTCCTTAACCTCATCTCCAGTAATACGTCCGTCCAAATTTTTGTCCACCTTATATATTTACATAAACACAAAGAAATAACTACTCAACTTACCATATTTTATAATAAATGATAATCATGCATTATACTATTCAAATACTAGAAATAAATATGCTTACATATCAAAAAAGATTTGCAGTCTAGCATCAAAGCTATTGCCTGTGATCTGCTCCCAAAATTCAAACAATTCAGTTTTGGTGATTGACGATGACGAAGTCCCTCTCCTTCGGACCAACGTCTCAAAAAGCTCGTTCACAAATTCGCTAGATTCAACCATTCCTATTTAGTTGAAATAATTCTTTTAAAATTTACGTTAAAAGATAACAAATATATAATATTATATGGGAAATAAGTTGAGCCTTACATTGGAGTGTAATTACCAAAAACAAAATTAAAAAAACCAAAAAGTATATTATTTAGAGATTTTTCACCTATGCAATGTCCAAATTTGGATTTAGGGAGCTTCCCTTCAACGGCCAACTGATCGAACCTCGTTGCAACCTCATCCCAGCCTCTGCCAACGGCGTCGGTTTTGGCAATGAACCTCAAACCTCGAAGAGCAAACATAGCACCGGATTACTTACTACGGTCGAGCCGGCGTGAAGCAAACGACAACGTCTTCACCATCGTTTTTAGTCTCCCGGAAAGAACAGACCGAAGTGTCGCCTTGGCCTTCGTTGTGCTGATGCTTTCGTCTCGCACTTCGAGTGTGATCTCGACGTCGTCCTCTTCAGAATTTTCTGGACCAGTGGCTTTGCATCGGGAAATCTTGATTTTCTCTTCTTCTGACCAAGATTCCATTCCTTCCTCTTGCATTCTCCACGCTGTTTAATTTGTAATCCAGTTTAAATAATTATTAGTGAAATAGATGCTGTCAAAAAAAAAAAAAAAAAAAAAAATTATTAGTGAAATAGATTGTCCAACAAAACGGATTTTAATGACCATATTACCCATATTACCCTTTTGACAATTTAGAATCGATTTATAATTAATACTAGATGTTAATCCGCGGTACATCGCGGGTCTATATTTTTATTAGAAAAATTTATTAAATTTTGTTTTAAGATACTCTATAGATATATACTATTGTTTTGTTTAATTTAAATGTATAATACACCGTGAGACGAAATTTTATTACAAAAATTGAAATTTTATAGATAGACGTAGTATAAAAACAATAGATTCAATTGTATGATTTTGAATAAGATGCTGATTTAACCCATCTTATACTGATTTTACCCGCGGTATACCGTATGCTAAATTTTAAATAATAAAATGAGGATTTAATATGTGTTATAGCGATGTATTAGTGATATTTTAAATTTATATTAATATCAATCCTAACCAAACCCGTGTCATACAATTCGTTCCGTAATATTTAAAACTATTTTATAAAAACTCAAAAACCATATCTAAATTGGCAAACAAAAGCCAAAAAATTTAAATATATCAATTAGAAATTTTTGAATTAGAAATTTTTGAATTTAATTAGAAAAGATTGCTCCATAATTTTAAATATTATGTATTTAATGTATTTATGAAGATTTGATATTTGAATTTATTTGAGAACATTACTTATTTTTAGCAATTTCAGAAAAAGACATGGGTTAAAGCTTGAACTGATCCGATAATTAAGGTCTGAATTAATAGTTTTGCACCGGCCTTGTTATTTTATTTGTATTTTCTAATTATTTTATCACTATTCAAACCTTAATGATCCATAATTAACACTAACATATTATTGTTATATAATCACAAATATTAAAAATAATATGTTTAGAACTGCCATGAAAAAAAATTTAAGTATGCGCGCAACTTTCATTAGTTCACATAATGAAAAAACAAACACATAGAGTATTAGAACTCAATAACAAAGAATCATGTCTACCAATTTTGTAAAGACCTACAGAGCCCAAATTGTTTTTATTCAACTCTCTCATATACCCAAAATGAAAAACTTAGAAACGGAAAGTTCAAACTCAATCATCGGTGGTTTAGCAGATGAAGTCACCGTCGTTAACGGTCACAGTAACGGCTCCGTCGATCTGAGCCTTGTTTCTTCAAAGCTGCAGCAAAACGCATGGATCTACTCTCCGTGTAGCGTATCAAGGAGTTCTCGGCGTGTATTTTGAAGCTACCACCGGAAAAGCATATCTGAAATCTGAAGATATTCGGTGTGATCAATTCGATGTTGCGTTTCAGGCGGTGGATCTTTGGATCGCCGATCGTCTTGTTTTGCCAATCGAAACCTAAAGAATCCTCCTCGTCACCATCTTCACATCGTCGGCGAGGTTTAGATCCCGGTTCACCACTGTCTCCTAGCTCTTCCCGGAGTCCGTACAGATTGCATCACGTCTGCGATTTCTCATTTTCTGTAAAACTGGTGAGTTTTTATTAGACTAATGAAAGATATTTATAATGTTTTGAGAATACTATAAGGTTTTGGGTGAGTGAGTTCCTAAAATCTTGCTGATCAAGTACACAATATCTTCAAAATCTTTTATTTTTGGAATTGAGTAATTTTCTTGCAAATCTCGAAAAAAAAAGAAATATAGGAAAGATAATTATGAGTAATTAGTTGGGATGACAGCCCATGGTAGAGATTTTAGAAGGAAAGCGAGAGATTTTTGGCAACAGTTTTTGAACGTAACATCTTTGATTTGGGAGAGATTTTTGGAATATGCTTATACCGAAATATATGTGTAATTATTTACATTAATGACGGGTTTTTTTAGATTTCCTTAAATGTCTTATCCAAGATCCGGATATAGAAAACCGAGTAAAACCCGGATCCAAATTATTAAAAGTAAAAAAACCCCTGTAAAAATATATATGTAGATTGTTATTTTGATTTTAAATTTATTGCAATTTAAATGGGCAATTGCCTATATTTAATCTGTTATTGTAAAAAAAAAATGACATAGCTTATTATTAAAATATTAAACAAATTTATTAACATAATATATATATATATATATATATACTGCTAAAAAAATAAATACGTTTTCTTCTTTATAATTTCATAATATATGTATATATTGTTAAAATCTGGACATTTATTATGAGAATAAATATGAAAACGATTTTCCATTAAATCGGTTATTTATTAGGATCATCAATATGAAAGATATTAAGACAACATGGCTTCATTTATTAGTTTGAAATTAAGACAACATTCCTAAAATTCCTTATCCAAGATCCGGATAGAATTAAACCCGGGTAAAACCCGGATCCAAATGAATTAATGCAAAAAAAACTCTATAAAAATGTATATGTACATTGTTTTCTTTGATCTCTCAATCATATTTACCATATCTTGCACATGCACTTGTAGACGAATTAGACTTCCATTATTACATCCAACAAAAATAAAATTCATTACAGTAAATGTTTATATCATTCATATATTAAAATATTTATTTTATTTCAATCACATCTCTTAAAATTTTAGTATGATATATATGGTCAATTATTCAGTTTTGAAAGGGAATATTAATAGATAGCCAAAAACCTAGGCCGCCAATAGGGTTGATTTGCCTGTTTTGTTGTTATCCAATTCTTATTGTACTTTGATTCCAATAAAAATACAACACTGAGAGTAGTTAGAAAATGGCAAATTTCTTATAAATCTCTTATGTCTGCGTGATAAATAAGTGGAGTCGTTAAGCGATAGTCATGTTCTTCCAAAAATTACACCTCACCGCATATGCATTAGTTTTGGCATTACACTAAATTCCTAAATAACAAAAGAAAATATCCTAATGCAATGAAAATTTATGTGACTTTTTTGCGACAGAAATTGTTATTTTATTTATCAGCATACAAAATTTCATTTAATATTTTCATGCATGTGTAACAACACTGTTATTTATTAATTAGTGTACAATTTAATATTTCATGTTAGATATAGTAAAGGCCTGAGTCAAGTTTTTATGATTGGGCCGGATCGGGATTTCAGAAGTCGTGAAACTTTCGAGAGATTGTAAGATGACGATTTGGTGTCACGTGTCTCTCTGCCATTGGGTACTTTACGTGTGTAAAAAGTAAGGAGCGCGCCAACACAAAATATGCAATTAAGCTTACGTGTCAAGCAATGATTGGAGAGGACACTCAACCAGGCTAAATACGAATCATACTGAAGCACATATAAATAGACTACGAACTTCATACTCTTTCAAAGAACTAGCGAACTATTCTTTTCTGTACGCAAACAAACGAGATCGAAGAAGAGTTCTCAACAATCAAATATGGTTTTTATCAAGAAAAACACAACAATGACGACGAACAAAGTTCTTGCGTGTTTGTTTTTTTCTGACAGGTAAATTCTCATAAAAACACAATTTTTTGGAACTTTCTGTTTCTCTTTTTATGTTACGGAGTTTGAGTTTTTTATATGAATATTGGAGCAGCTTTGATGTCAAGCGTGGCAATAGAAAGCGAAGAGCAGAAACTGGGGACGGTGATAGGAATCGATCTAGGGACTACATATTCATGTGTTGGTGTGTATCATAACAAACATGTGGAAATCATAGCAAACGATCAGGGAAACAGAATTACACCATCTTGGGTGGCTTTTACTGATACCGAACGTCTCATCGGGGAAGCTGCTAAGAATCAAGCAGCCAAGAACCCGGAGCGAACCATCTTCGACCCGAAACGTCTGATTGGAAGAAAGTCAGTGTTTCGTACTAATTATTTTCCAAGTGTCTGTCTAGTCCATATACATATCTTGCTCTTTTGTTTATGTTTTTTGATGTTTTGCTACAGATTTGATGATCCTGATGTACAAAGGGATATCAAATTCTTGCCATACAAGGTTGTGAACAAAGATGGAAAGCCTTACATTCAAGTGAAGGTTAAAGGTGAAGAGAAAGTGTTTAGCCCTGAGGAAATAAGTGCTATGATACTAACCAAGATGAAAGAGACAGCTGAAGCTTTCTTGGGAAAGAAGATCAAAGATGCTGTCATCACGGTTCCAGGTATGTGTTAGTATACACTTTTCTTAACTATGTAGATGTTAATGGTAGCAGCAAACTGATACGGAGTAGTCTATTCACAAGTTTTTGGCAAGAAACAAAAACACCAGTCCACAAAAACAGAGCGGTTTACTCTGTTTGAATATAAGTGTGTAGTGCCTTAAATCGGAATGCTTGTATTGTTTCTTGGTTGTTTTGCAGCGTATTTCAATGATGCGCAGAGGCAAGCCACAAAGGATGCAGGGGCATGTTAGAATATATGCGGAATATGGCCAGGTTATGAGCCTGGGACAAATCAAGAGTGAGCAGCTCATGCTTCACTCAAAGAGAATCACAAGAACACCAAAATCGGGTTTGTGTGTTCATGTGTAAATCCATCAAGAAACTAACTCAATGTGAGCTGTTCTTGAGGTAAAATAGGAGCTATACACGCCAATATGAGCTGTGTATACTCAAGAATAAGTATGAGAGGAAGAAACTCTCTCATACCAAAGAAATCCCAAATACCCTTATAGAATCGTTTTAGAAGAATGGAATAGAAAGAATTTGAGGAAGGTTAGAGAACAAGTTTTGCTAAGACTTGATCTCATCCCCGAGAATATTCAGACCCTAATCTACCCATTTGAATGTGTAAGGAAACGATTTAGTATAAGGGGAAGACATCCCACAAAGAGTGTTTTTGTTTCTCAATTGTGAGAGCTTAGCTTTATTAATGAGCATGTGTTACATATTTATACACAAAGTAGAAGAGACAAATTGTCTCATTTCTAGACCTAAATCCAACGGTCATATCTACCAAAACGTCCACAAGATGTAGATCGTGTGGCTTAGAGTGATTTGGACCATTCTAGAAGGTGATGGCTCCAAAATATCTTCCCACTTGTTGCTTTTCCTCAAAATGCAACATGTGGCTCTTAGGAGAGAGAGGAGCGTCCTTGATGATGTCACATGTGGTCCTCCTTGCAAGTTGCTTGCTTTCTTATCCACATGAGGCTCCTTTTGGCGCTTAAACGCATTTGAATCTCGGGCTACTAAGTGTGATTGGTTTGACACCAATTTTGCACATCTTTATCTTCGACCCGGACTTTGCACATTCTCCTCTTGACTTTACACGAACTTTGCACACTCGGTTCTTGATCGACCCGAACATTGCACGTCCGCTACTTGATCATCTTTACACGGATTTTGCACATCCGGTCTTGATAATCTTTTGACACCAATTATGCACATTAGGTCATGATAACTTTGACACTAATTTTGCACATTGGTGTTTCGTCTTCGGCCTTGTCTTGAGAGCATCGGCCTTGACTCTTCTTACGAGTTTACACCAATTTTGCACTTCGGTGTCTTGGTGACTTTACACCAATTTTGCACCTTCTTCTCTTGATGTTCTTCTAAGTGACCCGAACTTTGCACGGCTATGATCAAACCACCGGATCTCTTCTAGCTTCTTTCATCGCTTCTTCTCATCCGGTTCACTACCTTCATGGCTTGTGCTCATTCGGTTCAATACTCCCCCTCAAGCTTTAACCGTAAGGGACGAAGGTTAAAGCTTGGACTTTGATGAGCGTGGTCAAGTCATGCTTCCTTGAACCACACCAACTTGGCCTCGTCTTGTAGACTTCGGCCTTAGGCTTTGGATTAGCCTTTTCTTCTTAATACTCCCCCCCAAGCTTGATCGGCGGGAACCAAAGACCAAGCTTGCAACACATAAAGGACTACCTCGTTAAAAACCTTAGCAAAGAAAACCACTTGGGTAAAACTTTGCTTAAGGGAAAAAGAGTGTAGTCTTTATGGTTGAATGATGTAGCTATGGTCATGGTTTGGATGGAATTGCTTTGACTCTCGATAAGACTCTACTCCTCCGTGTGTGTACTCGCTTAAGGAACTCCTCCTTTCGGTCACCACCATGGATTGATCTTCCTTTGTCAAACCGCCAATTCTCCCGTGACATGCCATAGCTTCCAATCTTCAACCGGTTCTTCTTCTTCTCATCTAGCTTCCAAAATGGCTCACTTCTCTTTTACACCTTCAATAAAGAGATGTAAAGAAATCTTAAGTATATGCCATAAGAATATAAGCTTAGTATGAGTAAGATAGAGTAAACAAGATTAAAATGAACTAGCTTTTGATAAGACTAAGTCCTTTTAATTCACAAATAAAATTCGGAATTTAAACATGTAAATTTAAGATTAATCATGCTATAAATCCGGTTTAAATTCAATACCAATGCAAATGACCAAATTAAATTTCAGATTTTAATCATGACAATTTAATTCAAATAATTACAGAATTCTAATCAAATGATGACTCCTAAATCCGTTTTAAATTATGCTTAACCATTTAAATGACAATTTAATTTGTAAGCTAATCATGCGGATTCAATTCAATAAGGAAGTCTATCTATATGATCAAATTATGCATTTATAAATGAGCATTGATATGAAAAATAACAATGAAAGAGTAAGGGTTTAGAGATAGCCTTTTGTCTTCATTGTTGTATGGGTTGGATGAGACTCTTGGCACCACCATTTGAGCTTCAGCCTTCATAGGTCTCTCTCTTTATGGTTGGTGTCTTCTTGGTCTTCATCCACCTCTTCTTCTCCATGGGTTGTCTAACTCGGGTTGTATGTCGAGTAGCCTTCAAGTGTTCCACCTTAGTCTTCTTCTTTGGTCTGCCTCTTGGGTTCATCTTCATGGATCTTCCTCTTGGGTCAGCCTTGAGATAGACTAGGTTGAATTCTTCTTCGTATTAGCACCTTCTTGTGCCGCTTCAAGACCTCTTCAATTTTCTTCGACCCAAACTCATAATTCCCTGTACCATCTTCGAGATTCACCGTACTTATGGGTATTTCATGATGTTTGGTCGAGACAATTTTGAAAATGGTCGAGCCAATTTGTCGGAGTCCGACGAGAGCCTTCCCGAAACGCCCTAGCTTCATTTCCATCGGTCAAATGACATATTTCCTCGACCCATATTGAAATTTCGTCGCTCAACCATCCATTTTATGAAGAATGGTCGAGGAACATTTGCCCCGGGACGAGCTAGATTCGGAGATGGGCGAGAAGTACTCATCTTTGAGTACTAAGACATGGCGATCGGTTGTGCCAATCGGTTGCAAACCGATCGGAGGACCTTAGTACGAAATCCTTGTCTTGCCGCTCGGTTATCCCGATCGGTTGCACAACCGATTGGGGTCTATTTCCGCCTCTTCTTGTGCTTCTTTAAATCCTTTTAGCTTCCTTTGAAGCTTGAGAATTGTTGAACACTTTTGGGCGCCTTTTGACAACACCAAGTCAGCCACTTAGCTCTTAAAGCTAATCCTTCCTCATTATCCCTTCATAGAACAACTTCAAGACTAGGCTTTTAAGGCTTCTTTCATGACCGCTTCTTATGCTTCAAGGGCTGCTCCAAATCGCCATTTCTTCTTGGAAAACTCATCAAGAAGAGATGGAAGGCATAAGCCTGAGAATTAATGACAAAAAATAAAGTGTATGTTACCAAGAATAAGAGATTAAGTAACCAAGTATGAGAGTATAAAGAGTATGGACTCAAGAGTGCCAATGGACAAAGTTCTTAGCTTTGTTTTCTTGAGGTGAGATTGGGAGAATGTGGGGTGTGTGAGCAGCCTTGTGAACTCCAAAACGAGCAGTCTTTGTTATCTACTTCGTGGGCTTCAAGATCTGCTCCAAACTGCCTTGATAACTCCAAAACGAGCAGTCTTCATGATCTACTCCAAGAGCTTCAAGAACAGCTTCAAATCGCCATTCTTCTTGATGGCTTCTTTTTCATCATCCCTTGAGAGATCTTCTTTGGCGTGAATTGAAGAGGACTTTTGGATTCATCATGATTTTAAATGCTTTGAACATTTCGTTCAAAGACATCCCATGGTTCTCTTCCCCCTTCTTTCCTCCGTGAGTCTCTTCTTCAAGGGCCTTGCTTTGTAGCTTTGAAACCATGGTTCTCCTAACCATGGCTCTGATACCATGTTAGAATATATGCGGAATATGGCCAGGTTATGAGCCTGGGACAAATCAAGAGTGAGCAGCTCATGCTTCACTCAAAGAGAATCACAAGAACACCAAAATCGGGTTTGTGTGTTCATGTGTAAATCCATCAAGAAACTAACTCAATGTGAGCTGTTCTTGAGGTAAAATAGGAGCTATACACGCCAATATGAGCTGTGTATACTCAAGAATAAGTATGAGAGGAAGAAACTCTCTCATACCAAAGAAATCCCAAATACCCTTATAGAATCGTTTTAGAAGAATGGAATAGAAAGAATTTGAGGAAGGTTAGAGAACAAGTTTTGCTAAGACTTGATCTCATCCCCGAGAATATTCAGACCCTAATCTACCCATTTGAATGTGTAAGGAAACGATTTAGTATAAGGGGAAGACATCCCACAAAGAGTGTTTTTGTTTCTCAATTGTGAGAGCTTAGCTTTATTAATGAGCATGTGTTACATATTTATACACAAAGTAGAAGAGACAAATTGTCTCATTTCTAGACCTAAATCCAACGGTCATATCTACCAAAACGTCCACAAGATGTAGATCGTGTGGCTTAGAGTGATTTGGACCATTCTAGAAGGTGATGGCTCCAAAATATCTTCCCACTTGTTGCTTTTCCTCAAAATGCAACATGTGGCTCTTAGGAGAGAGAGGAGCGTCCTTGATGATGTCACATGTGGTCCTCCTTGCAAGTTGCTTGCTTTCTTATCCACATGAGGCTCCTTTTGGCGCTTAAACGCATTTGAATCTCGGGCTACTAAGTGTGATTGGTTTGACACCAATTTTGCACATCTTTATCTTCGACCCGGACTTTGCACATTCTCCTCTTGACTTTACACGAACTTTGCACACTCGGTTCTTGATCGACCCGAACATTGCACGTCCGCTACTTGATCATCTTTACACGGATTTTGCACATCCGGTCTTGATAATCTTTTGACACCAATTATGCACATTAGGTCATGATAACTTTGACACTAATTTTGCACATTGGTGTTTCGTCTTCGGCCTTGTCTTGAGAGCATCGGCCTTGACTCTTCTTACGAGTTTACACCAATTTTGCACTTCGGTGTCTTGGTGACTTTACACCAATTTTGCACCTTCTTCTCTTGATGTTCTTCTAAGTGACCCGAACTTTGCACGGCTATGATCAAACCACCGGATCTCTTCTAGCTTCTTTCATCGCTTCTTCTCATCCGGTTCACTACCTTCATGGCTTGTGCTCATTCGGTTCAATAGGGCAATCGCGGGGCTTAATGTGGTTCGTATAATCAATGAGCCAACGGGTGCAGCCATAGCTTATGGTTTAGACAAAAAAGGTGGGGAGTCAAACATTCTTGTATATGATCTAGGTGGAGGAACATTTGATGTTAGTATCCTTACCATAGACAATGGAGTCTTTGAAGTCTTATCCACAAGCGGAGACACTCACCTTGGTGGAGAAGATTTTGACCACAGAGTGATGGACTATTTCATCAAATTGGTCAAGAAGAAGTATAACAAAGACATTAGCAAGGATCACAAAGCGCTTGGTAAACTTAGGCGCGAATGTGAGCTTGCGAAACGATCTTTGAGCAACCAGCACCAAGTCCGTGTTGAAATTGAGTCACTCTTTGATGGAGTTGATTTCTCTGAGCCTTTAACGAGAGCAAGATTCGAGGAACTCAACATGGACTTGTTCAAGAAGACTATGGAGCCAGTAAAGAAGGCTCTTAAAGATGCAGGGTTAAAGAAATCCCAAATTGACGAGATTGTTCTTGTTGGAGGAAGCACTCGAATCCCAAAAGTTCAGCAGATGTTGAAGGATTTCTTTGAAGGCAAGGAAGCCAGCAAAGGGACTAACCCTGATGAGGCTGTGGCCTATGGAGCCGCGGTCCAAGGTGGAGTATTAAGTGGTGAAGGTGGAGAAGAAACACAAAGTAAGTAACTCTTTTAACTCTCTTTATGACAATAGTTGAGCATATATACCTTTAAAATGTAACTAATCATGTTAGTCACTGTAACGTTTTGAGTAGCAAATGACCTAACTATTGAAAACAGATATTCTGCTGCTTGATGTTGCGCCTTTGAGCCTCGGTATTGAAACTGTCGGAGGCGTGATGACAAACATTATTCCGAGGAACACTGCGATCCCAACGAAGAAGTCTCAGGTGTTCACGACTTACCAAGATCAGCAAACTACTGTGAGCATTAACGTCTATGAAGGCGAGAGAAGCATGACTAAAGATAACCGCGAGCTCGGAAAATTCGATCTCACAGGCATTCTTCCTGCACCCAGGTAAACTCTAAGTCAATCTGGGCTACTAAACCGTTTCAGTTTTATTTCGGTTCTTGGTTTACTTAAGATGCAAGAAACCAACATTTCAGGGGAGTGCCACAGATTGAGGTGACTTTCGAAGTAGACGCAAATGGGATCCTTCAGGTGAAAGCCGAAGACAAAGTTGTAAAGACGTCACAGTCGATTACAATAACGAACGATAAAGGTCGTTTAACAGAAGAAGAGATTGAGGAAATGATTAGAGAAGCAGAGGAGTTTGCTGAGGAAGATAGGATTATGAAGGAGAAGATTGATGCGAGGAACAAGCTTGAAACGTATGTGTACAACATGAAAAGTACAATGGCCGATAAGGAGAAGATAAGTGATGAGGATAAAGAAAAGATGGAAGAGGTTTTGAAGGAGGCGTTGGAGTGGTTAGAAGAGAATGTGAATGCAGAGAAGGAAGATTACGATGATAAAATGAAGGAGGTGGAGTCGGTTTGTAACCCGGTTATTAAGTCGGTTTACGAGAAAACCGGGGGAGAGAGTGAAGACGGCGGTGGAGATGATCATGATGAGTTATAGAGTCGTGTAATTGAAGGTTGTTTGAGTCGGTTATTGACCGGTTAGCTATGGGATTTGCAGCTGTTGTTTTTTCATTTTTTCCCCGTTCTTGCTCTTTTTTCCAGGGTAGCTAGAGTATGTAAAAAAATTACGAATAAGTTTGAGAGAGATTTCGTTTTGCGAAAGAATGGTGTTGGACTATTTATTGCATATGATTGGTGAATAGTTTATACGAGCAATGTTCCTTTTGTGATCGTTACAAAACTATTTTTTCTACTCATGGCTCTGAGTTTTACCAAGCTCAAAGCACAGACAAATTATGTGGAACTTTCCTTTGGCATGAACTTTCCTATGTTTCATTGCATTCTATTCAACAGCAGTGATTGGAAATAGCATCATAATGTTCAATACATTCATTAGAAGAAAAAGAAGTAACCAGAGACATAAACACAAGATAAAACTTGATCTCTCACGTTCTTCACATGATTCATCAAACGAAAAACATAGAGCAATTATCCTAAGAAATTAAAAGTTGATAACATAGCAATCAGAAGTCGAAATCACCACCCATGTCACCCATATCACCCATATCTGCGATGTCAGAAACCGCTTCACCCACCAGCAACCCACCCAATAAACCAGCTCCAAGCCCAAGCCCTAGTCCCATTCCAGCTCCAGCCTTACCGTGCTTCTTCGGTTTCTGCGGTTTACCATAAGCTTGCTGTTGCGGGTAACCGTATGGACCCTGTGGCGGATAACCTTGTTGCGGGTAACCATATGGACCCTGTGGCGGATAACCCGGATATCCACCCTGTTGCGGAGGCGGATATCCCGGGTAACCTCCCTGTTGCGGGTATGCACCAGGTGGAGGATAACCACCGGGTCCAGCTGGCGGATATCCAGCCTGCTGCGGGTATCCGTAAACACCACCGTGCTTATCGTCATGTCCTGGTGGTGGATATCCGGAAGAAGGACCCGCAGGAGGAGCAGGGTATGCAGACGGTGCACCGTGTCCGGGCGGGTAAGCGGTGACGGGCTGATCCATGGTCTTGTGGTCCATAGACGATGGAACCGGTGCGTGAGGAGCACTCGAAGATCCAAAAGTATACTTGTCCCCAAATTTGAAGGAGAATTTGAGAGATCCTTTAGCTTTCCCGTTAGGCAACCTCACGGCGTAAGTAACCGTTTTCTCCTCGTCACCTTTGTTCTGATCCAAAAGCTCTTTCACCGGAACGCTAACCTCACCGACAGGTTTATCACCAGCGATGGGACGATCCGCCACGATCTCGAAAACAAGAGTAAGACGATTCTCACGCGCCGCCGCGTCATCGACGGTGAGCTTCATCTGATGTTTCCATTTAGGTTTGGTGCCGCAATCTTTGTCAACCTTTGTCTTCTGCTTCGTCCTAGCGTCACCGTTGATTGAAACGACAGCGTACAAGTCTTGTTTACCGATCAATTGAATGTCTTTGAGATCCTCCGCTGATATAATCGTCAGATCCAATGATCTACACTCCATGGTTGGTTACTCGGATCGAAAATTTGAAATTTGTTCTGAGAATGATCTTATCGAAAATCGATTTAAGCAGACATTATATTTTTTTTATGATGAGGAAATGAAAAGATAAGAGGGCATGGATGTATATATATGCAATTTATGTTAAAGTCGGTTTAAGGAATAAAGGAGATTTTTTTGTACACACGGGAGGGACACGCACGAGATTTCTTTGTTAGGACGCGGTTTCTTTAAATGGAAATAGCTTTTTCTCTTTCCTAATATTAGTCTCTTCTTATCTGAAGTTTAATTATCTTGCTGTTTTTAATTAATTATATTATTTTGACCATGGAACAAATAATAAACTCATGTATATCTAAGCGTTTAGTGATAATGGCAATCTAAACGTTCAGAGATAATGGAAATTATAAACGTTTTAAAGACTGCCTCAAATGATTAAGAGTCCAAGATCAATGGGTGCTCTCCATATGCCTGGTTACTTGACAACGTAATCAGGTACGTACGTAAAATAGGACAAGACACACCGGAGAGTTAGACTTACAATTGTTTGATGTTGATATCATGATATGTAGGAATCATATCGCGTTTTACTCTGCTAGGATTGGATTTGATCAACATCACTAACAGTTATATCAAGCGGACGAGTACGAATTCTACAACTAACCATTCAAAAATTTACGGTATAAGCACTAAATACTGGATATTATTATACTACATTACTACACTTGTTATTCGTACTATCAATAAATTATATAGATTAAATTGTTATGAACAATCAAAAGATATTGACTTAGTATCGATAGTGACATGGTGGTTAATGGAATCTATTGCACAAGTTGGAGTGTCAGTCTGTCAGACGTCAATTTCACTTTTAAAGTTGAGCAAAATTAATTCTTTACTAACTACTAACTAGTACTAATACTCCGTCCGTTTCGTTTTAGTTGTCGTTTTAGGATTTAAATTTTGTTTCGTTTTAGTTGTCGTTTTAGGTTTTTAATGCAAATGTTTGGTAAAAATTTCAGTATTATACCTATTGTTTTAATGTTGTGGCTAATGAAATTTTTTATAAAATATATTAATAAAAGGTAAAATAAAAAATTTAATGTTTTTCTTAATTTGTGTGAAAAAACCTTAAACGACAACTAAAACGAAACGAAGAGAGTACTATTTAACTAGTGGTTGATCAGTGTTTTTAATAACTTTACATTGAATTACACTGATCAACTAGTGGTACGTAGTTATTAGTTGTCTTCGAAAAAAAATACTACTAACTTTTTTTTTTTGGACAAAATACTACTAACTTAAAACTAGGAAACATGCAGGAATTTCCTATTCAATAAATAGTGATATAAGATGGAAAATAATTACAAAGAGAAATTAGAAAGAATCTTTTGAAAAGCAGAATAATCTCAAGCATCTTTCTTGGTATCTTCTTCAGTAGTCAAGAGCAATACGCGTGGAATAACCCATACGTTTACTATTCGTGCTTATTCTCAAAGGCGATTGGTTCTCATTTTCTCGATTGAATCATCTTTTTAATTCAACGATAGCCTCACCTCGCGTGGCCCGGACGCACTATCCATATTCTTTGCCACTTTATTCTCCTCCACGGACCATTTAAGTTAAACCCAAATATACACGTTAGTCCATATAATGGAGCCCATATTCGCAAATCTATATATATAATAGGAGAGTTTTCTCTCCATCTAAGGTGTCCATCTAAGCAACACTATTTATTTAACATTAAATAAATTCAAAACATTCAATTAGTGCATATTTATGTTATTTATAATTAATAAAATATTTAAATAAATAAAAAAGAATTATGTAAATAAATGAGATGTAAATAAATTCAAAACATTCATTTAGTGCATATTTATGTTATTTGTAATTAATAAAATATTCAAATAAATAAAAAAAATTATGTAAATAAATGAGATGTTAAAATAATAAAAATAATACTATGAAAATTTTATTAGTAGTAATAATATAATTCAAATTTTAATATACAAAAATTTAAAATGATCATACTTCAAATTTTTAAATGTGTTAATCAATTTTAAAAGGAAAGTAAAATTTAAATACATGGTAGAATAAAACTACATTTATGTTATTATATATGCAAAATTAAACTTAAAGTGAAACATTAGTTTCTAAGAACAATATACTACATATTTTTTTAATTAAATTTTTACTTAAAGAAAAATACAAGATTACTAAACTCAACTTAAATTTATAATTTAAAACGATGATATTGTAAGAGTCGCACTTTATCTTATGAAATTTTATAAAAGAAAATTTTAAAATTTTAAAATATTATCATCTATCTTTTAAGAAAAATAATCAATGATCACATTATTCAGGAGTTTTACAAAATATACAAAAATGATATGTAAGCCGTTAAAAAGTGATATGTAATTTGTGTAGAATATTCTCAAGTGGAACTACAACTTTATATGATAAAAAGAAAAATAAGTTTGATATTTCATCAACGGAATCAAATGCGTTTAACCCAAAAAATTAAGTATTGAAAGATAGTAATTAAGGAGAAAATAATTATGACATGTCTTGAAAATCAATTCAAAGTCCAATATATATTATATATGAGTCAATAGAAGGTGAAAAGAAAGTAGCTGTCGAGAGGCAACGAGTGCATCATAGAATATGACAAAAGAATTGGTAGTTAAAGTGTGAAAATAATTTTCTAAAACTTAATTATAAAGATAATGCAATGACTAAGGTAAATTATTTGAGATCTCATTCATTGTATGAAACGAATGAGTTCTTTGAAAAATACAAGACATACATTATTAAACATATTATTAGATTCAAAGTTAGGCTTAACAGTTTGGCCATGTAATAATCGAAAGTAAGATAAGATAGGCACATTGATGACTTAGTCGAGAATTGTACTATGGCACAATGCACTTGCTTCTATAGGTAAAACAAGCTCGCTAAAGTTGTTCTAGTAACATGGTATTATAGATTTACTTTTCCACTAAATAATGTTCATGAAACTAGGTATATTCACATTTTATACGGAATGATTTTATGTTTGTATTATCATTTAATCATAAATAATATATACAATTAGGTCAAAAATCGATAATTAACATCAAAACTTTTAAAGAAATGTTTTCATAGAATATGAATAAGATAAAACTTCAATTCAAAAAAAAAAAAAAAGAATAAGAAAGAAACTCTTTTAGAGATAAATAATCATGAGATGGTGATCGATACCGTTTATTCTTCCCGCAAAGTTCTTAAGTGATATTTGTTAGCACGTGATATATACCAAACTAATTATTTGTCAAGGAAACATTTTCGTCGACAATATATATGTTGTATATCGCTTCGTAAAATAAGTTTAATGTTTATATAGATTTATCTTTAAAATTTGAATTATATTATTTATACTCAAATATTTATCTTTTAAATTATACTGATATACTGAAAAATTTCTATTAATAGAAGAGAAATTAAATTAAAATCCCGCGCAACGCGCGGGTACAAAATCTAGTTTTGATATATAACACACAAAGTTTAGCTGATTTTTCTTCTAGTACATCACCACTCAACTACTTGAAAGTCTAGAAACTCATCATCAACTCACAATTCAGAGTTTGTGTTAGCAAAAAATCATTTAATGATAATTACCAAAACCCAACAAACATATTATATCACACGATCATATTTCATATGTCGCCAATAAAATAAAAAGTTATCCAGATTTAGATTAATGTAAAAATGCGTAATTTGCCACCCCTACGAAGTTGATAAAAACCTTCCAGTTTTGAAAGAAATTTTTAAG